TCAGGGTTAGGGCCTAAACTTGTTGGTTCAAAGCTGGAATTTGTCTTTAGGTTTGGAGCTGTGAGCAATAACTTGAGGCAGTTCGTGTATTTTGTCTTTGACATAGGTTAATGAAGCATTGGCACAACTTTCTTTGCTTCAAGCAAGGAAATATGTGGTCAACTTGAGTAAGATTTTTTTTTCTTTTAATCTTTTGTAATCCTCATCTATCAATTTTAAAAATTATTTTATTATTTTTATTTTTATTCCTCATCGATCAATTTTATCTCTGTGAAATATATGGTGTACTAAGTTATTGAGCAAGTTTCTTTCTGCAAATTGTTAGAAATGAATGAACAATTGGAAAATTATCATAATCGTTACATACACAGGATGTATATTTGGTTTCTTTTTTCACTTTGAAAACCTTATATCTTGAAAGAAGTCATTAACGAGCATTTTTATTCTGTCAAAATTAATTTTCTTGTTGGAACTATACGTTTAATCATCACTTGCATATTGGGCTCAAGAATATATTATTTCAAAAATAGAAATCCAAGTAATCAGTTATGAAAATTTATATTGTGACTACACTGAACAGTCTCTTTTTGGAACAGATAGTATGATGGAATGATAGACTATTTGATGGTTGGTTGGTTGAATACTTACGACACGCACAAGCAGTTTCCCACAAATACTTCATTGAATTATTTAATTCCAATCGAGTCTCCAAATAAGAGGGCGAGCCTTCACGCCATTTCCAGTCGAGTCTCCAAAGCACCCTACTTATCAGTCCTATGAATTATTTTCAACATTTCTAAATCAAGCAAATTATGTTCCTTCACCAAAATTTTCCATCACTTGAGACTGTTATTAGTGTTCCAGATACTGAATGACCTTACTCACAAGATAAATGGAATGTCAAAGTTCTCTGAACCATTCGTTTCTTGGACCTTTGTTCATTGGTATCTGGGTGTGCCTTGCTTCAGTACAAGTGCAACAATTTGCTTACAGAAATGAAGGGCTAAGACAGACTTGGTACCTGATATGTGTACATTGATTGCAGGTTTTATAATTCTGGCCTGTAATAAGCTAAATTTATATTGTAGAACATTTTCATAATGAACATTCTAGTGTAAAAGAATGTGTGTGATCCATCATTGTGCCTCTTGTTTTTCTTAAGGTGGTATTAACTTTGATTGCAGAGATGGAGGAGGTAGTGAAAAAAATGCTCAAGCTCATCGAAGCAGATGCTGATTCCTTTGCTAAGAGGGCAGAGTTGTACTTCAAAAGGAGACCTGAGTTGACAAGCTTCGTGGAAGATGCCTACAGGGCATACAGAGCATTGGCTGAAAGATATGACCACATCTCAGGAGAATTGCACAAGGCCAACCACACGATAGCAACTGCTTGTCCCGAACAAGTCCAGTATGCGATGCTAGAGGAGGAGGATGATAATTTTCCAAAAGCAATTACCCCAATTGATCCAAGTAAAATTAACAAGCCAACAGTGGAGGGATTAATGAACAGAAGAAGAGAAAATGAATCATCCATTAAGAGAAAACAGAAGAATAGTAATGTACCTCAGATTAATAAAGAAAAGGCTCAAGAAGAGATAGATAAGCTTCAGAAAGGAATACTGGTTCTGCAGACGGAAAAAGAATTCATCAAGAGTTCATACGAGACTGGGATAGCCAAGTATTGGGAGATTGAGAAGCAAATCATGGATATGCAAGAAAAAGTTAGTTGCTTGCAAGATGAGTTTGGTACCAGTTCAGTCATCAAAGACGATGAGGCACGTGCCTTAATGACAGCGACAGCTCTTAAATCCTGTGAGGATGCCATAGTCAGTTTGCAGGAACAGCGGAAAAAATCGTTGGAACAGGCTAAGGTAGAGTCTGAAAGAATTGAGGTTGCTAAGGACAAACTGAAGACTCTCAAAGGTGAGTATTGCCAATCTGAAATGGAAGATGCAGATATGTCTGGTGAAAATACACAAATGAGCTTCACAGCTGAAAAAATGGAGGAAGACCTTTATTCTCTAGACAATGCAAGGCTTGAGTTACAGTCCATATGCGAGAAAATTAAGACACATTTTGAAATGAATCCTGAAAGCTCTGTGATCGAAATTGCAGAGAAGATTAATGAGCTTGTAGATAAAGTTCTCGCACTGGAACTGACAGTTTCATCACAGGCTGTACATATAAATCGATTGACTTCAGAAAACGATGAACTTGATAAATACCTTCAGAAATTGGAAGAGGAGAAAACGATTCTGATTAGTGATTCAAATGCATTGTCTGAAAGACTGAAGGAAGCTGAAGAGGAGCTTAACAGAGTTCAGGCAATCGAGAAAATTGTCCGAGATGGAGAAATAAATTTCTATGACAACTTTAGTGAGGCCTGTCACAGCCTCAGTGGTATTTCAGAGAAGCTGCAGTCTCATAAATCACCAGAAGATGAGTGTGTTGCAGATGCATCCACAGAGGAAGAAGCTTCCGCGTTTAGCACTGTACCACTGAGAGAGTGCCAAGATAAAGAAGTAACTGAAATCCATGACGTCAAGAAGGATATGGAAGAGGAGATTCATACAACTAAGGAACTTGGTCACCGCCCAGAAGATCCTTCCCAGATGGAGGCTGGTTCTCAGCTCAAGAGTGCTTCGGATGAGATTGAGGACCCAAAGAAAGGAAATGAACTGGGCGAGAAAGGCTTATCACAAACGTATCTAGGCATTCGTCAATCTGACAATGAAGAAATCCTGCTTGATGAAAAAGAGCATGCTCTTAACTTTCAGCAAGTAGTTCCAAGTGGTTTAGAAGGTACAGAAAAAATTGTGCTTGCTGAGTACACATCAATCTTACAAAATTACGAAGAGACAAAGAGAAGGCTTTCTGAAGTAGAGAATAAAAATGAAGAACATCTTCAAGAGACAATGGCTTTGATAGGGGAACTGAAGAATGTCATTGCAATGAAAGATGAGGAGATACAGTTGCTGAAACAACAATTGGCCTCTCTAAAGATGAGTTCCGATATTACTGCAGATGCACCTTCCATTGGAGACTCTTGGGATGGTCAACAAAAGCTTGAAAGCACATCCAACTCTGTGATGGTCACAGAGAGTTCCAACCTTCGAGATTCTGAGATGCTTGAAGATCTAAGTATATCCACTACAAAAAGAGATTCAGATGATGAGTTTACAGAAGTACATGGACCCCCTGAGGAAGGCAGCAATGCAGATTGCATCAATGAGCCAAAGAGCATTTCACCAGTGGAAGAAAAGCTTAGAAGGGATATTGACACTTTGCTTGATAGAAATTTGGAATTCTGGCTAAGGTTCAGCACATCATTCCATCACATACAGGAGTTCAAGGCCAAATATGAAGACCTACAAGCTGATATTGATAGGCTGAAAGACAACAAGACACCAGGGGGCAATGATGGTGCTACTGGCAATCAGGATGGGGAACCTGAATCAGCGATAGTAGCCACAAGACTGAGAGAATTGAAGACTGAGCTCCAGGTGTGGTTGGAACAAAATGCACTGTTGAAAGGTGAGCTGCAAAGTACAATCTCATCTCTTGATGATATGCAAGAGGAGATATCAACTGCTGCCAACACAAAATCAGAAACGGGGGAAGCGATGTGCACTCCTTATCAAGCTGCAAGGTTTCAAGGTGAGGTGATGAACATGAAACAAGAGAAGAATAAGGCTGCAAGTGAATTGCAGGAGGGACTCGATCAAGTCAGGCGGCTTCAAGCTGAAATTGAGCAGCAGTGGTCTAAGCTACGTGAGAACTTTGAACCATTTCCATCGGCAAGCACCCCCGATGCTGGCTTGGAGCATTCTCCCAGTAGGACCAGGGTACCATTGCGGGTCTTCCTTTTCGGTGCCAAGCCTAAAAAACCATCTATATTTGCACGCATCCATCCAGTGTTTCAGAAACAAAACAGTAAGCTGAAGGCTGGGCGTCGGTAAGTTGATGGCAAATACTTGATATTCATCAATAACTACTGACCCGGCTAGCTTTCTACCGTATAAACTTGTGAAATTATTTTGAACAGGTCTAAATGGTTTTCTCAATCTGATGAGTAGCTCATTTCTAGTTGGATGAGAGGGACTTCGACCCCATCATCATGTGGGAGGTGCTTCACGTTTTTTGTTGGACTTTCCAAGGATACCTTTCGTTTGCCTTATGTGCCTTCAGCTCAGTGGCAGCAGCTTTTCTCAGCTTTGTTCCAGATGAAACCAGTAATCTTGTTGATGAAAGTTGTGTTGAGGTTGAATTTTAGATTTTACAAATCCAGTTGATACTTTATTCATTGCAAAGAAAAAAAAATATATCATCTGTTTATACGTGCAATAGCAATCCGAAGTTTTTTCCTTTTCTTTTTCTTGCATTCTTTTGGTATCACCCTCCAGGCTTGTACAAGATATTCTCATGCATATTGTAATCAAACGCTCCTAAATGTTTTGAGATTGTAATTGTGGCATTGTTGTTACATATACATATTTGTATTCTAAATGCAATTAGAAGAGTCTAATGTATATAAATCGGTTTGAGTTGGTGTGTTGTTGTGTTCAAATTGATTTAATATTTGATTTCTTATATTTTTTTAATACAACTATTGTAATGATTAGCATATTATTTATTGTCTTCAAATTGCTGCAAATAATTAACATTATGACTATCAAATTGATTAATCGGTATATTTACATGAATTTGTTCAGAATAGGAAGAGGGTTAGTATGATTGGACACGTGTAGGGCAGCTGGTGGCCGGTCATTTAGTCTGCTCCAATCTGCGTTGCAGCCGATCCCAGTGATGGTTGTTGGAGGCGAGTACTACTAATACCCTGACGTCATCTCATCGAAGAACGACGGTCCCACTGTTCGACTAATCAACGGGTTGAGAAGATGCCACGTGACGAAATGGGTCGTCTATCACGTCCGTTTCAAGAAGGAACTACGCATAAATAGCCGTGTCATAGTCCGTTAGTCGAATGCTTCGTTCCCTCGGTCCAAAGCTTCTCCCACTCTTCTCTCTTCCGTTCGTTCCTCTCGATTCCTCTTGCGATCGATGGAGACTATAGTGATTCCTCTTTCGGTCGATTGACACTATAACCTATTCATCGATCGGATTGGACTTCGTGATCTCCGTTACAAGAAGGAGAAACTTTCTTGATCTGGCGTCGCGTTCTCTGGTTCTTCGATCCAAAAAGCTTCGGTGAGACCCTCCTCCCTCTCCTCTCTCCTTGGTTTGTTACTTTGGGTTCCTCTTGCGATCGATTGAAACTTGATCGATCGGATTGGACGTCGTGATCTCAAGGAGATACTTATGAACAGGGGGAGATCTCGCCGTTACTTGATATGGTCTCGAGTGCTCCGGTTCTTCGCACCAAAGTTTCGGTGAGACCTTCTTCCGTTTGTTCCTTCGGATTCCTCTATCGATCTATTGAAATTATAACCTGTTGACCGATCGAATTGGACGTCGTGATCTCCGTTACAAGAAGGAGAAACTTATGAAAAGGTTGACATCTCACCGTTTCTTGATCTGGTGTCGAGTGCTCCCACACTTCGCTCCAAAGATTCGGTGAGACCCTCCTCGCTCTCATGTCTCTTCCGTTTGCTCCTGTGGGTTCCTCTTTCGATCTATTGAAACTATAACTTGTTGATCGATCGGATTAGACGTCGTGATTTCCATTACAAGAAGCAGAAACTTATGAATAGGGTGATCTCGCCGTTTCTTGATATGGTCTCGAGTTTTCGGTGAGGCCCTCCTCCCTCTCTTCCGTTCGTTCCTTTGGATTCCTCTCGCGATCGATCGAAACTATAGATCTGTTGATCGATCGGATTGGAGTTCGTGATCTCCATTACAAGAAGGAGAAACTTATGAATAAGGGGAGATTTCACCGTTTTTTGATCTGGTGCTGAGTGCTCCGACTCTTCGCTCCAAAGTTTCGGTGAGATCTTTTATCCCTCTCTTCTCTTCCGTTTGTTCATTTGGAATTCTATTGCGATCTTGTTTGTTGCTATGTTTTTCCTTGATCTTTTCGGGCACTTTTCATGCAAGAAACGAGGGGATTATCGATCAAATTTAGCAACAGGGAGCTATTACATCCCTATTGTTATTTCCTTCGTCATTTCTTCGTATGAATTTGTTGAACCACCGGGCTCATGCGTTTAATGTTTCTTCGGCCACTAGAAAAGATTAATATTTAGACCGGGTTAAATTAGAATTATAGCATAACGGTGAGCGCTTAAAGGTGTTTACTATGAAGAACAATTGCACGTGTTGTTCCAATAGGTTATTCTTTTAGTCAGTATAAGGAAAATATTTTTTGTAGATTATTGCCTTACATCTACGCATAATAAGCAAGTATGTGTTGACAATGCTTAGTTTCCTGTGTTGACAATAGTAATGTTATTGAAATTTGTATTGATAAATTTAATAATAGTGGTATTGGTATAATAGCATTGGTAAGTAATAGTATTAGTAATGTTATTGGTATTGGTTGTGGGAATGAGAATGGTAATAGTAATGTTTTTGGTAATGGTTATAGTCATGGCAATAGTAATGATATGACATATTTGTTTTTATTTATTATCATTAATGAATATAAGATCCATGTCCATTGGAACACAATTCTTTCCTTTTTGTTTCCTCGTTAAGATTTGAGTGTAACATTAAAGATATTAGAAGATTTTATTATAACCAATGTATATATTTCTGAATGATTTCATAAATTCTCTTTTACCATGATGATCCTAAATCCATTAAAAGCATATCCTAATTGGGGGTAACGGCTCGGGTTTATATATGTTACGTGACAAAGACCTTCCTTTGCCTGTCGTCCCAAGCGACTCTGCGAGTTTGAGACGAGAACCGGTTTTATCGGTGGCTTGGAGTCGGTGGTACCGCACCTTTTATTGGTTTCCAACAACGAACTGACGCCACTTATCGCTCGGCCCTACCACCTCGCCTGTGCCTCCCTCTCCCCGACCCCCAAATCCTCATGGCGTACCAAAACCCCCATGCTTCCGCCGAGCCCGGAAAGAAAGCCCTAGAGACACCTCCCCCTCCTGCAGCGGCCGCCGACAAGCCCGCTCCTCCGGCGGCATGCCTTGAAAACCCTATTCCCTCGCCCGACGCGAGCTCTGCCCGATTGGATCCCGCAATCCATGGGAACGCTGCGGCCGTGGGATCCAACTCGGTCTTGACGAGTGCCATGCAGAACGGCCCCGTCACTGATCTGCAGAAGAAGCTTCGGCGAGCCGAGCGATTCGGGACGGCGGTGATGCTTTCTGAAGGGGAGAAACGAAATTCACGAGCAGAGAGGTAAGAAGTTTGAATTTTGAATTCTATTTTCCGAGAAATTTATCCTCAAGTTCGTTTGAGAGAAATTTATCTTGGGTTTGGGGGGGAGAAAGATTTAATCGGGGGCACCAGGAGAATCGTGGTGACTAGAAAATTAAGTTGCATGCCAATTTACGAAGACTGAACATGGAAATAGCTCGTAGGAGATTACGATCATACTGGTGGATGAGATATTCTCCCTGATAGTATAAGGAATGTCTTGAATGGTTCATCTGGTGGGTATATCTCATAGAAACTTGACAGTTCTAGTCCTTAGGAACAAAAAATTATAATATGTTTGTGTGCTGGCTCATGATAATCGCCTCTTTAAGAAATAATTTGATATTGCCAAAACTCTCATGTGTAATCATGTCAGTAAGATGATTGTCTTTAGAACCTAGTTTTAGTATGAGATGCTATTTGCAGAGGCTAGTATTCTTCGGATGTAAAATGTCCAGATCTGGCACCATATATTGATTTGGGTTAAATGAGGAGATAAAGAATTATATAGAATGATTTTGAAGTTTATGTTTAATTCTGGTCTAAGATTCCAAGTTGTTCTATATCATAATGTAAAGTCTATGCAGCTTTGGCTTATTAGAGAGAATCCATTTTTAAAAATAAGAACAAGAGCATCGTACAGTTATGAAACAATTTTATATGATCTTTAGTTAATTGTAAACTTGTTTAGTTTCTTGCTTAAAAGCTTAAACTAAATTGTGTAGTGTGGTTCACTGGAGAATTTAATTATTTAATTTTGTTTTGCCCTATATCTTTTTTGTTTTGGTTTAAGCTAAATAATAAAATTGGTGTATTAATTATTTTTTGTGCTATTTTCCTGAGAATCGCCACCGGAGCTTGAGATAAGCAGCTCTTGTGAAGGTAGGCTTCCTCCACTCCTTTCTACTTAATGTAGTAAAAAACACTGGAAGTGAACTACCTTCAGTTTCAGTTGACCTTGGTGGTGCCATTTTATCAAACTAAATAGGCATTTGAAGTCATGGAATTCTCTATGAGAATGATATCTGTAGGTTTTAATTTAAGCGCCCTGAACTGTTATGTGTGGGTACGGCCATTTATTTGGAATGGATTATTTCCATGACGGCCACTGCAAACCTACTACATATAAAAGATATGTAGGCCTATATCTTAGCATGGGATGGGTTCACTGAAACAAGACCATTGGAGGGTTAAAGCCTTCTGTATTTATGTGTTATTGACTGTTTGTTGCTGTGAGTTAAAATTGTATTGGTGTTATAATATTTGCTATTACAACATAGAAGGATTATTTTTCTAGTGGTTGAGGCACAATCCAAATTGGTGGCGAATGCATTCCAATTCGGCTTTTTCATATTGTGATAAAATACTGCTGTCTCAGGTGGGCTATGAGTTGGGAGTACGTTGTGGTCATTATTTTTCAGTTCTGTTTCAGTACCTTGTTCCCAATTATTTAACCCAATTTTTTTGTTTTCAGATTCTGTTTTATTTTTAAAAAAAATTCGTTGGGAATCATAATTTCCCTTTACATTTACTGCAAATCTCATTGTTAGGTTTGGAACTGGGTCAACATTAAGTGGCCCAAAGAATGTTGGACTTCTAGAGGAGCAAAAAAGAAAAGCCCGGGCAGAGAGGTGCTTACTTTTGGTTGACATTTTTTTTTTCCACTCTGAGATTGTGAACTTTGTGAGGGAAGTTTGAAGGCCTCTTGTTCTGCCATATTTTAGGTTTGGGCTTAAGAATGGCACTGTAGCTGATGAGGCCGCAAAGAAGAAGGCACGGTTGGAAAGATTTGCAACAAACTCCAAGATGGATGATAGTTCAGAAGATGAGAAAAGGAAGGCAAGAGCAATCAGGTGATTGATTATCTTTCATTTGGTGGTGTTATTCTTAAATGGTGCTTCTAGATATAAGATCTAATCAAGTGAGCTGATTATCTTTCATTTGTTGTTCAGGTTTTCACAAGGCTCACAAGTGAACTCTGACCTGGTAGGTCTCTGTAGCTGAGTTTCATTCTCGATGCAAAGAGAACAGTTGCGCATTTCCCTTAAGCTTGAATTTTTTTTTTTTTGTTATTCTGTTTACTGAAACTAGAAGCCAAAGACTATGTAGATCACACCTGATGGAGGTTTTTAATGATTTAGAAACTCCAAATCTTTTTCATTTAGGATCTCCAAAATTCTCTCTCCCCGTCTCCCTGAGCTTTGGTGGTTCTCGTATGAGCTTGCAGCATTCAACGGTGCGGGACGAATCCAACACATGATAAGAAAATTAACAAATTTTAGTGTCAATTAAAATTTCTGGTGAACTCAGAGAAAAAAAGCTACATGGCATCTATCATTCTTTTGGCAATTTAGTAAAATCAAAGCAACAGTTTCACTTCAGGTAAAGTGTTCGTGAGGTATCTTTGCAACATCAAATTCAAAAACATATCTGAGATATCTCTGCACCGGTGCAGCCAAATGCTCGTGAAGATTGAAACTTGACATTTTCATACTTCTTCAAGAGGAGATCCACCAAAATATTAGAAAGTCCACTTCATGTGCACTCCTTTTTCAGAATGAAATCAATAGCGTCTCCAACGGTATCCACAACCTGAGAAAAAAGGCCATTCAGTTCGAGTTATGGCATATTGGATTTATGTTTGCCTAAAAAGAGATCATTATGCATATAGCAGCAAGCCTTCTATTCCAAACCAATACTCATGACAGTATCACCTAATTAAAATGTGTATTCTCAACAAATCTATTCTTAAAAGCATATACAGTGGTATACTGAACAATCTCATGTATCTTACTGATCTGCACTCTATCTGCATGTGATCATAACTATACCAACACACCTGAGTGTGTGAGGGTACATTGGTAGAGTATGATTAAATATAAAAGATACATAATTTTGAAAATAATTGCACCTACCAGGTCTGCTGGATACTGTTCATGGTTGTCTTTACCCCGGAATACCCCAGTCCTTGTGAGAATAGAAAACCATGGATGTCCCACCTGCAACAATATAATAATAATAAACCAGGACTTGTCAGTGGATGTGTTAAAAAAATTCAAAACATTCTTTGCAACATTCAGTAAGCTTGTCAGGAAGTTATAAATATTGTAGCAGCAGCAGCCTTAAACAGGTTAGAAAGGATCTCACCCTGGTTTTTCTCAAGTCACCATTATTCTGGGGCTTTGTTAACTTGTATGTGACAACCAGATACCTCGAGGGTGGTGGTGGAATAGGATGCATGGAAGTGGAAACCAACTGATTATGTAGTTAATAGCATGAGTTGTGAAGACAATGGTGGAAGCAGCAGCAGACTGAATCACATGCTGGTTATTGATCTACAAAGCATGAGCAGCAGAATGGAGACATGCTGATCATTTCAGTACATTACAGCCAACATGGGATATCATGACCAAGCAATACCGAATGATACCGTCCGTACCGGGTGGTACATACCGGTTCGTCAATCGACTGGTACACGGACCGTCCGCTACTGAGCGATACTGTCCATTGAGACGTTATCGTTATCGATTGAGACGTTATAATTTTTTTTTTAATCTGCAACATCGCCGAGGCGACGTTGCTCCACATAGAGGTATATATATATATATATATATACCGTTCGGTACATCGTACCGTACCGAATAAATCTCAAAATTTCGGTACTGTACGAAATTTCAATCCTTGATCATGACCACCACGGGTGTTCCATGCTTAGGAGTTCAGGTCTTAAATATGGTAGAATTTTGATTCACAAACATACTAGGATTGTGCTTATATAAATCTGATTCTTTTTTATGCTAGCACAATTTAATGCCCCTGATGACAATCAGGAATCTGATTCTTTTTTATGGAAGAATTCTGAGTCCATTTTGACATACCTTCTTGGCACCATTAATGTCAACCTTAGGATTATCACCAATCATATAAATGGTATTGAATGCACATTTCTCGCCCATCATAGTCTCCTTAACCTGGCACACATGTGTCACCAGTTTGGTCAGGATGGACTCTGCATTCTTGAAAACAAATGGATTTGGTTTCCCAAAAGAAGTATACTCCAGAGGACTGCTGTGGATACTGCATTTTCAGTTAAGCATATGAGGGTTTCGCACAATTTCATGACCATTGAGGTGGGTAAGCAGTGATATCTAGTACCTGTTATATATGCTTTCCAGTCCTATCCTGAAAGCACCCATCCCAAGGCGCTCAGAAGGAAATACAGCCTACATAAGATTAGCATGAGGTCAATTTCCCTCAAGTTCTCCAGAGAAATTACAGAATATTACACATATAAAATCGAATATTTATCAGCAGCCAGAACTTGTTCAAACAAAAGATTCTAATCTAAATTTTATCTTGCCTGGTATTCAAGATCATCTGCTGCAAAAAATAAAGGTGGTTGATGTCCATTTTCCTTTCCAGGAAGACCGCCACATCTTAAAATATCACAAAGCACCTGCATCCATGCATGTTCCATATCAAAATTTGTAGTTTGTGAAAGTCAAATCGCCAACTCAAACCTAGACATCATCAACTATCATTTGAAGCTTGCGAGAAAAACAGTTACTGTAGTATTTTCTCAGCGTAAATTGATATGTATCATTTGAAGCTTGCGAGAAAACCACTGTATATAAATTGCAAGAAGACTCGATTCAACGAAACAAATCAGCAACGATCTAATAAATAAGGAACAGAGAGGCACTTATTATGAAGCAGCGAGATTAAAACACAAGAACTTAATTTCACATAACCAAAGAGATCAACACACGAGAACCAGAATAACTGTTGATTCACAATTCACTTCTGTTATAATCCAATATCTATATGGTCTTATTCTGACTGAAGAGAAGCATCAGGATATCATAATGTCTGCATAAGTGTTGTGTCTCATCATCTGAATTTTATATGTTACCATGAGATCTGTGCAAGTGCAATACTTGTATCAATAGGTGCTTGATAGTCAAAAAGGCATGTAAAGAATGGACTATGATATGTCGATATATTTGCACATACTTTCATATAAGAAAACAACTTACATACTCTAGAAGCAATGGGAGAAAATAAGTACCTGAATGTCCCTTCCCCAATCAACAGGGTCACTAACAACAAATGCACCTTTTACTCTCTCTGAATACACATCGTATTTTGGTTGCAAACCCTTGGAATTATAGTTTCTCTCATACGAGTGCTTGAGACCCCAACTCTTGTACTGAGAGAGGGGATCGATGTCATTGAAGTATGATGCATAATCATCAATAGAAAGAACTTTTCTGCACATAAAGTAAGATATTGCCAGGAAACTAGTATACAACATCCAATACTAATGCAGTCTATTTTGGAATATCTGATTGTTGTAGATAAGAATATTCAAAATTAATAATAATGCTTCATTCTTACTTGAATCCATACTCCAACATCACTGCAGCAGGTTCCCCTTTTCCAATGGCAACGATAAGCTCATTCTCGAATCTGCTGATTATAAGTAGCAACAACCATGCAATAATGTTTTGTCCTTAACAAAAATTACAAATTGACTTATGAAGAGTTATCACAAATTCCTATAATATATAGATTCTCCTAAGAAAATTCATGAATGGGAAGAAATTTTAATAAAAATTACACATATCCCAAAAAATAATGAATTTTTTTAATGAACACCCAAATATTTTGAAAATTTTGTGATCTTCATTTCAGTACCTGCTGACCAACCGTCGGAAAGGAGAATGACCCTGCACAACCTGCATCATAGTCACATAAATTAGCAAATACCTTGAGAGGTTATAAGCTAATGAGAAGAGCAGAATTAAATAAATCAATTACAGCATGACATGCAATAATTTATATTATCTATTACAGGACTCCTTAGTTATCTGCTCCAGCAAGTATACACTAACATGGTGGAAGAAATTGAATATATTATGACCTTAGTGCTGCAATATCCGATAATGCTATACATATTTACGTCAGATAATTATCTTTTGTTCAATATTCAAACAAGCAACCAGAAAAAAAGAGCTTCTATCATGTTTCTTAACTTAGCAGGCAGTTGTGCATGTTAAATCAGTAGAAGTTATGGATCCTAGACAGTTGTCCTTGCAGATAATTATGCAGATGATGCATGAAACTGAGGAACATAAAAACCTGTTCAACAGCAAACAGAAGACTATCAAATTTAAGCATTGTAACATACATTTTTCAAACCCCACACTAACATGCTAAATGTATAAAGAAAATATCAAAAGAAGAATACATATTTTAGGAACACTAGAACAAGTTTGTTCTGGATATCAAAAAGTCATCCAATTTATCATCAGGCTTGTCAAGGAAAAGATTTTCAAAACTCAAAGTTCAAACTCAAATCTTTGTTTGTTATTTGAAACATGATTTTCAATACTACTAGCAGCAGCTTCCTGATGTCTTTGAAACAAGAGAGGATAACATGGATGCCATTCGGTAGCTTTTCCATACAATTGTTTCAATTCATAATTGGGATGTAGTTAATAAAATGGCTTTATGTGATCCTTAACTGGTAGGGTAGGAGCTTCGCCAAATCACTCATATTTGAATATAGAGAAGTAAATAAACAGATAATATTTATATATTACCTGTAGAGCTGAAATCTGAACTTTCAAAAGCTCACTCAACTCCAGAGCTCGTTTGGTTTCTGGGACACCCCCTCCTATACATTTACAATGATATCAAGAATCAAGCTTTAGGTAAACTTCTCTCAACATCACTTATAAAGACTCCACTTCATATTGCAATGAGTCAATCAATTTGAATATATATATATATATATATATATATGTGTATGTACATGTATATATGTATATGCACACACACACACACACACACATATGTATGTATGTATGTATGCATGTATGTATGTTATAAAGGAATGCAATGAACATACATGTCCTCAAAACTCACTAAAAGAACAGTCATGTAAGGTTAGTTGACAGTATAAGATTCACAAATACTTAAGGTGGCTAACCTTAAAAATTAATTGCAGAAAGGGGTAGAAAGACTTCATTGAATAAAAAATCATGTCATTTCGAGTTGCAGTTTTATCATAAGTTGAAATAAAATATAATGAACTTCAAAGAAACCAAAGAGTAAGCTCACCATTTGTCAAGAACAGAAATGGAACCTTCAACGAACCTGCAAAGAAGAAAATAATGATAATTTACAATTGTAATAGCAATAACCATAGAAGGTCACACGAGACAACATAGTGTCCACAAATCTTTCTAGAATTACTTCCTTATTAGATGTTATAAACTTGAGCAAAAGGAGCATTTATTGTATAATATAAGTAACTGTGATTGTATGCTTAATATCATTCTATGTTACTCAGCTGCATACTTCTGAATATGAATAATTCAGAAAATTACAGCTCATGATCAGCATGGCATAACTGAAGATGAAATATTCAAGAATGACCAGAAGAAAAATGCCACATGTGGAATAGATATGTACAAATATTCCAACTAAATGGTAGAAAAGAATCAACCAAAGCATAAAGGATCATCCAAAATAACCAAAAATAACCAAAGCTGGCCATGAAAAATAACCAAAATCATTTTGACTCATGCCTATTTTGGAAAATAACCAAAATATTCCAACTAAGGCATCCAAAAAGAATATTTTAAATAAGCAATCAAGCACTGTATGAATTTTCAAAAGCATTGCATGTATCCTGTAGGAAAATTAAAGAACGCATTTCACAACTGCAAAAAAGTGTCAAGCCTTGTAGTCAACATCATTGAAAAAAACAGCAAGGCACAGACACAGACAGGAAAATCGTGTTGGATAAATGTGCAATGTTCAAAAGCATTTCTGCTATTAAAGCATACTAAACGCATTCCATGAATGTTCTTAGGAACAAGCACATGGCAAATGAGTGCCTGGCAAGAAAATCATACCAAAGTTTACATAAGAAGTTCTATTACATGATTATGAAATCATGCGAAACAACAATGTGGAATGGCTTCAGGATAAAATCCAAAAAAGACCAAGCAGTGAGAAATCTTGACAGAACTGGAAAAACAGCATGCCGACTATTCTCGATTCATATGTAGGTGAATGCCCTGAATAATTAAGCAAACGTGGCAAAAGTTGGTCATACAATCGAATGACTATGCAAGATCTGTACAGGAAGGTAGCCAAATGTTCGTGACTCCTTTGTTCAAAGCATCAGCCGCCTGCTCAAGAGCGATGACCATCTCCAAGATGGTATCGATGTTGGAGGAACTTCAATCGAAAGTTCCTTGATCGAGATGCCTACATTTTGTTCATAGTAAATTGCCCATTGCAACCCTGCTTCAAGAATGATATTATTTATGAGAAATTTCTGATAATTTGTATATCAATCTTGTTCTAATGTTATCATCGCAGAATTAGTTAAGGAGGGATGTGCTGCCTATTTCTTTCGAGAACACTGTAACCCTTAACCAAATCCCCCACGATCGACTTCTTTCAAGAAAAAGAAATGGCACGACCACGCAAGAAGATCTCAACAGGAACACCAGATTTCAAGAAACGAGAAAACGAATAGCTATACCGTCGGCGTCGTAAAGCCTCCGGAGGGCCTGCGGAGACCCTCCGATGGGGGTGCGTCCGCGAAGAATCACGCCATCGATGTCGAACGCGATCCCAAAGGAAGGCCTGCGAACCCCCAAAAGAAGGACAGCGAAACAGAATCGTGGGCAAATAGAATGAAGAGTGAATCGATAGGCAGGGAGAAGCAGCACGCGCGAAGAAACAGACCTCTCAGAGTCCGGCCGCCGGAGATGCGAGTAGGTGCGCCGAAACCGCTGCTGCTGCGCCGGAGTTCCGAGCTTTGCCCTCGACGCCGCCCCAAAGAAGACGGAACGGAACCTCATGCCCTCCTCCAATTCTGTTTCCCGTCCCCAACAAACCAAGCCTTATTCTGTTACCCTTCTTTCTCTTCGCTTTTTATTCTATTTATTTATTTTTCTTCTTGCTTTTTGAGGTCGCGCTTGCCGCTGTGTTTTCGTCCTTTAACGAGAGAGAGAGAGAGAAGAGCGAGAGAGAGAGAGAGAGAGAGAACACTCTGATTCGAGTTTGATGAACCGGAATTCGAGTTTGAACCGGATTCTTTAATTTGGATCTCTATTTTGGATCCAATAAGCTTTGGTTCTTTCGTACCGACCCAATTCCAAGTTTGGATCCATTTCCAATATTAGAACTACAAGCGGTGATCCTTTCCGATCGCCCAAATTCAAATTGCCCGCTCTCGTTTATTTCCCTGTGTAACGTTGTGGGATCTGATAACTTCACCCTTCTTTTCGCGACCACGACCAAAGACAACAGAGAAAGGGCAACTGCATTTGCTGAAAAAAGAGGAGTGTGTATATACAAATCAAATTATATTATTCCAAATGAAATCATTTCATTTCCCGAGTCGGCCTTTTCTGCCTTGCCTCCGAACTCCGATCTCCACTTCTCTCGTTCGCTTCCTTGCTTCTTCGAGTCGATTTGGGGGTGCTCGCGAGGCGATCGGGTCTTGGAGGAAGCATGGAGAGGCTCTCTCTGATCGACGTCGCGTCGGAGGATGATCTGCTCACGTCCTCCCCTTGCGACGGCTTCATCGGTCAGATCTCACCAGGTGCTCATCGCGTTTCTTTCCTTCTTTCCTTTTTGACGATATCCTGACAAATCTTGATGTGGTCGATGGTTCTTGTGCCTTTGATCCGTTTGATTTGATGTGCTTGGGTTTGATCTGCCCCACATGGACAGATAGGTCGATTGTGGAACTTTGATGTCTGTAGACTCATAAAGAATCGATTTATAATGCACAAGGTTAAATATTGATCACTAGAATAATGACAAAGCTACCATGTCTTGCGTGTCTTGTGTTTGTGAATATGTTTCTTTGATTGATGCATGTTTCTTGATACATATTCGACAAGGAAACCTCTTCATCTTTGGCTTATATCGTTAGTCATACCAGATAAAGCTGAGATGAACATTATGGTAATTGTTGACAATGCTTGTCAGTCAGAATCACAATCCATGAGAATTACATATGTCCAATTACAAGTTTGGGATGGCCTTTTATGCTTAACTTCCAACTCCTATGATTGTGTTTGTTATGTTCGACATAGTGATTACCATCTTCCTGCACGCTCTTCAGCAACCTGTTTATGATGCTATGATTGTCTCTGCATCGATGTGGACTTTGATCATTTTTTTCTTTTTTTGTTGAGAGCCGTGTTACAATCATAGTTGCATGATCCAGAGCTTGTTATTTGTCAGTGCTCATCGTTCTTACATATTTGCTCTAGTTCTTTAATCTTAGAGGTCTTTCTGAAAATCATGTTGAGAGTTACTGTTTTCAATCAGTGATTGTTGGTTCGGAGGAAAGCGGGAATCAAGTGAAAATAAACAAGCAAATAGAACAAGCCCTCGATCTTTCAGAGTCCCCAGAGTATAATAAAACAAAGACTGGCAAATGCAACTTGCGGAAAAGTTTAGCCTGGGATAGTGCCTTTTTTACGAGCGAAGGTATGGCGTTTGTGATACCAACCAAACATTCCATATCTTTGAACTGAACTTTATAAGCTTGATGAATCTTATCTGTTGTCCACAGGAGTTCTGAATCATGAGGAACTGGCCATCGTGAACAGCACATTTAAGAAGACTCAAGCATGTTCACTTCCTATAATTCTGGAAGATGCAAGGAAATCAACAGAATCAACATCAACTTTAGATAATGATAGCTGGGCACTGGAGAATCTTGAGGTAGATTTGTTCGAAAATGTTCGAGCTTCCATTCAGATGACCTTTGGCACCGGAGAGAAAGCTTTGAATGTGGCACAGCCAATCAAGAAAAACAACCCAGCGAGGCGAGGTGAACTCTCCCTTGGATATAAGAATGTTCTTAGATATTCGAAACACTTGGTGGTAGATTTTTGCCATAATTTTGTTTCTGTTTGTGTGGCTTGCAATTCTTCTAAATGAGTCAATCATACTGCTTTGCAGCATCAATGAAACTTGAACCATCTTCCCGTAATAAGGTACGTTTTCGTTATTCGTATTCATCTCACTGGTTCATATTGCTGATGTACTTGAGTTAACAACTCTCATGTCATCAGAAGTGCACTCCTGTGGCATCAGAGCGACATGGTGTTAGCAACCATCTTCGTGAGAGTGCCACCAGAGCAGCCACTGTTGTTACAAATGTGGTATGCGCGTGCTATATACTAGTTTCCTTAGGCTCTAAGATTTTCCATACTTCAAATAATTATGGCCATCTAATTATACAAACAAATCGAAACATTTTTCGAGTCGAGCTCACATTTCATACTTTTATGAAGGGTGCTGATGGAGTTACTAATTCAAAGATGTTAAAGCCACCGAGGGTTTTGTCCAGAGGAACTCTTCCAGCAATGCCAACCAAGACAAATCTTGTTTCTGGAAACAACCAGATAAAAACTAGTAGTAAAAAAGATATCCCAGGTACAATTTCATTAGGGATCCTCTTGCATCTTTGAGCAATGCAATTACTTTTACTGTTTAAGATATGCTTTGGTAATCAATTCTCATCCAAGTGTGGGTTTGGCAGGCAATACAGCAACTCAGAAATCTGCTGTAGTTTCTAAGAAAATAAAAGGAGGTTCTTGTGACACTATAAAGTCCTCCCGTTCACCAAAACCTACTCCGAAACTGGTCGACAATTCGAGAGACACAGCACGTAAGTCTCCTTCCGAGACAACAAGATCGAGAAGTACTTCCAGAGCTATCAATCGATCTCTATCTGGATCAATCACCAATAAAGCATCCATGAGGACGAGTGGATCTAAAATTAGCAGAAATACAAGTAACAGTGCAGTATCTCCAAATTCTTCTGTCAAGTTATCTTCAATTGCTTCTCCGAGTAGCTCCTTCGACAGTGTCACTTCAGGATCATCTTCATCGACTTTCTCTGCTGTTAAACCATTGATTGATGGCATTGAACCTGGTGCTGACAACGAAGAAGTTCATCCTCCAGGTCTCCAATCAAATCTCAGTTCTGAAGATATTGGACAATCAAACGGACTACTTGTTACCAAAGTTCATCCAAAAAGTTGCCCTAACGATAGCTCTGGGGCAAAATGCTACAAACCTTCAGGACTCAAAATGCCAACTCCAAAAATTGGCTACTTCGATGCAGTACGTCCACATTTCTTATCCTAGCCACCTCCATTGTCTTTTGTAACTTTTACCTGTTCTAACATTGATTTTAATTTGGATATGCAGAAGAAATCTCTTGCCTGCGATGTCAAAACAGTTTCAGAGCCTCGGCAGCAGCCCAGTTTCCCCAAAACCACCACTGGAGTACCCAACAAGTCTGATTCAGGGAACAAAACGAAACCCAAAAAGATTCAACATGTGTCACCTGCAAACCAGGACATGGCCATCGATTCTGATTCTCCACGATCAACAGCTTTATCTCGGAGTCCACTTGCAGAGTCCCCATCACTTAAACGACTACCGAAGCTTGTTGTATCGGGTGGCTTGACTGATACATCAGAAGCACAAAAGGAATCAAGTCCCATCGTCAAGGATTTCCATAGCCCATTAAAGGTTTTTGATGCATCGGTTGTCAACAAAGCTGAATGCGATCTACTGCCAAAACCAAGTACAAAAGAGCGAGATGGTGATCCGCATCCAAAGCATACGGCCAATATCCCAGTGGAAGGTGAAGCTATGATCCTGATTGATGGAAGTTCCGGAGTCCTTTGGAAACACTCAGAAACACAGGCAACAGAGAACCAGAACAATTATCAATGTGATCCCCCTACCATCAACATTGAAAAGGAAAATATGTCTCCTGCAGAATGAACAACTTTCAAGGACAAAATATGGGCACAGCACTGGGGAAAGAAATGACACTAAAGTTAGTTCTCTACTCAACTTAGGACGAGAAGGTTTTGTTTTGGACATTGAGCAATGTCTGAAATCTGTAATCGTTTGTCCCTAATCAGAACCGAAGCTTCATTCTCAAGTCAGCAAAATTAACAGAGAAAGAGCTGTACTTGCATGACTACATTTCAATCAATCTTGAAGGACCCAAAGTGAAACAATAAGTTATTATAGCTGGAATCGATTATAAGGTTGATTCAAATTTTGGCACTTCGATTCTTGACTTGGGAGTCACTCAAGATGGTGATCGATAGGATAATTGAGATCATGATTCATTGAATTGGTGTACCAATACCACTGCTGCTTCTGATGGTCTAATCGGCATCAACACATGCAATGGCTTAATGAGGTGTTAGGTTGCTAATTTGCAGGCACAACAACAACAACAGGAAAATGCGAATGGGAATTCAATACCACTTGCGAAAAACAAAAGAAAAAACAAGCTTTATTATAAAAAAAAGTGAGAGTAGATCATCGTTTATCCACGAAACATCTTCATGTCTTCTTCTTGCTGCCACTACTACTATGTAATGATCCCTCCTCCATCTACATTCCATCTACATGCATCACTATCCTACCAACACATATATGGCGTAAATTATTCCTGGTATGTAACCCAGTATCGTCAACAGGAGGTCGATCCAGAACTCCACCTGCGAGATCACCCCATAAATGTCCGATTCTGATCAGAGAGAGAGAGAGAGAGAGCTTACACCACAGCCATATCGCAGGAAGACTCCCACAGGTGGTAACAAGATGGCCAAGATGACTTCCAAGAACGTCTCTGACCCCATCTCTCTCTCTCTCTGAAACCAGTGGAGCTTCACGATCGTCTCTTCTCACGAGTGACTCCGAACCGGAAGGTGTGGAAGACGGGGGAAGAAGCATGTGAAGCCTAGTAAAACGTGGCGGACTGTAACAGTCTGATGTGTGCCGCGTGTTCCACCGCCAACGCCACGTACCTCCTCTGAGCGTTACTGTAGCAGAAATCCATGATGAGAGTTAGTTGTTTTGGACTTGCCGTGTGTTCGTGAGACGTGCATCAAAAGAGGTTTGTTTAGCAGAAGAGAATCATATTGTTTCTTGATTCCATTAATTGCTATATGATATCAGGTGGCATTAGTTATTGTGTGGAAGTCAACAGATTATGATCGAATGACGCTAATTTATCTACATATATGCTTTTATAGTATGCTTGTCAGGCTATTATAGGGTGAGAAAGGTACTTTAAAAATAATTAATAAATAATAATAATAATATGATCTATGTACATCATAAGATGATATGTTGGAATACGAGAGTTATATCATTTATGTATTTAATTCACTATTGGATGAGATTACATAAATCTTTTAATTTTATTATTAATTTTTTATTGTCTTGGGTTACATATTGATTCAAAGTCAATTGAAATCCTTTTTAATTATCAAGAGTTGAATTCAGTCAATATCAAACTTGCTTGATTTTGAACATGACGAACCCTATAAAACTATGTTTGGACGCTCTGCCTTCTTATGCTTAAATCATTATGGATTCAATGGATTTGACTTATGTTTTAGAAAAAGATATATATACTAAAATATACCTAAAAAACCATTTTATAATAAGCTCACAATACTGTTACACTCGTGTGGTAGATGTGGATCATGGAAAAGTGGTATCCCTTCCCCATACTTAACTCATAATACTATTATTCTCATTCTCATGATAGATATTTAGTTATAGAGAAAGTGGCATATCTCTCTGCATGCAATAATATTTATTCATCCTTAAAAGTTAAAGTGTCATATTGTTATGGACGAATATGTACAAAGGGTGCTCGATATAATATTTATGTATATCAATATTTTTTAATTTTATTATATTTTTTTTAATATATAAAGGGTTTGTAGTAGGTTTAATAGCTCCATTTTGATTGGCTTTTGTGATTATTTTAGTCATGTAAATTGTGTGCAGTCATCGTACAAAAGTAAAATTTAAAAAAAATCATCTAGATAGACTTTTTTTTTTCTAGTTTTATATAGTGATGAGAAGTGTCAAATAATACAACACCTTGAAGTTAAGAAGATTTTTGACCACAACGAATTATCTTAGATCTTTTGTCGTACAATCATTTAGAGCTTGCGAAATCTATGTTTGTAATTGTATTACCTATCAAGTGTTTGTCAAAATATCCGCTTGTAAAGTTAAATACTTCCTTTAATCATTTTCTCTTTTGCATGTCCTTAAAGAATTATAAGAAATTTTAGGAAGACTGACCTTTGCGGACGAAAATATAAGGGTATCATATGACATAGACAAAATCAATTAAGTTTATGACAATATGGTATCAAGGTATCGACTATATTATATTGGGTTCAGGCATGATTTCGATGTATCGACTAATTTCGAGTATTGATCAAATATAGTTATCCATATCTCAAATTTAGAAAAGAGATGGCACAAAGGAACAAACAATTGGTCACTTGAGGTGCTTGCTTACTCACGAAGCTACCACAGACTGCCCTTTTCCTCTCATTGGATCGACTTTTTTAATAGGACATGGAAGGTTAGCAAAATATTCAAAGTTGTGAGTCAAATTGCTTGCTGTGTTCGTCAACTATACTGAGATAACTTCACTCATACTAATTTATCATCCAATCGAATCAAAGATGCATGACTGTTCCATCTCCATCACAAATTCTGGCCAAAAGGCAAACCACTCTCCTTGATGAGTAGACACACAGAAAAGAGCATCTTAAGGCCATTCTGCAAATCTAATCATGAGATGAAAGTGTACTTTCGGTCTGTCTGTGACATGCTTAAGACCATTGTGCTGTGGGTGAGAAGTCACAGTCGTAAAAGCCAGCCAGGGAGAGAAGGATTCATCTCCATCCTCCTCTCTCTCTCTCTCTCTCTCTCTCTCTCTCTCTCTCTCTCGAAGTCATGCAGCAGAATGAAAAGCCATTCAAAAGCCTCATGCTTTATGGAAAGTAGTTTGCTTCTTTTCGTAGAACCACGCAAAGGATTGAAGCAGAATGGTATCAGAATTCACTGCGTGATTCGCTTGTGATGTGTGGCTGTAGCGGCTGTGAGATTTGCTAACTCACATCAGAAATATTCCTGTGATCGCTCTGCACAGTTCTAAAGGATACTCTCACTAATAAATATTTTTGGATCCATGAAGATAATAAAAAATAATATAAAAATTAAAAAACTAGTCGAGACGAATGTGAGATGATGTATATGTCCTCTTAACTTAAAGATAATTTATAGTTTCGTCTCAGGACGAGTAATTTGATTTTTCTTTACGAGCATAAATAACGAGGGTCGAATCATATAAATTTGAAATCGATTTTTCTAAATTATGATCTATTATTGATCTGAAATTTTCATTTATTATCAAATATCTTTTTCTCCCCGATATTATGTTTATTATACTTTAATCTCTTTCTCTTTTTTTTTTTTTCTTTTGAGAGGATAAATATAACTATATATTTTTTCTTTTTGCTTTTTTAGATGTTATGTATATTTTCGGTCATTTTCATGTGGCCAGAGGAGAAGATTCATGCAAAGTGTGGTAGCTTTTTCTTTCATTGGATCCTTCCTACTTTGTGCCCTTTATTGAATGGGAAGAACAAGAAATAGAGATTGCTTATGGACCATTGTAAAGTGACCAATCAATTATTGAGAATGATGATGACCAATGACATGACAATAATTATTCTTCTCTTTTCCTTTAGAGCTAGATATTTAATTTATAAAATATAAAAAAAAATAGATTAAAAAAATTATGATGCAAATTATACATAGTTGATACTAACTAGTAATTTATGGTAAATCAATACCATGTCGAATGGATTATCAATATCAAATAAATAATTTATAATACAAATATAACTATTATATATATACTATTTTTTAATAATATTATAGTATATTTTTTTTATGATACTAATTAGTTTGACTAGTGATAAGAGATACATTGCCGACTAATCATTCAACATGTCATCATCTAAAGAGGGAAGAGGACAATCGTATTTATTATAGACTTTATTCTCGTCGTTTATGTTGATAAAGATAATCATAAATTTTTTTATACCTTTTATAATCATATATAAAAAATCATCTTTAACATAGAGAAAAAATAGATAACTTTCTTAAACTATTATCGTACGTGTTACTAACTTGAGCATGAGAAAGACTAAGTTGAAAAATCTCTTTTGACCTCGATTTTCGTACAAGTGACTCCTCGGAAGTTTAACATTCTCACCTCAAAGACACATTGGACAGTTCTACGCATATGAGTTCAGATCATGTCGAACTAAAACGTCAACGATCTTTTCTCCGAGCAAATGATATGATAGATTATCGAAAAGACTAGTTCAAATATCATATTTATTATTTTATAAAAAATAAAAAATATTTTAACATTTATATATAGTTTAATGTAACTAAAAAAAATTAATTGAAAGGAAAAAAAAAAAAACAACAGAGATTGTGGAGCTCAAGTTTTGTTTACAAAACAATATCAAGAATCTTCTTCCATGCTGGGACTCGGTCAACTCTTCTTTCTCTGAGCAGAAAGGAGGCAGTGTGGCATGGCACAAACTCCCTCTACCTGTAAGTCCCAAACCCACATGAATGCCACATGATGATGACTTCATTGATGGCTACTCTCCTCCCCTACTCGTATTTATCTTTGCATCACCACTTCGATGGAAGCAGAACACCGAGAGCAGGAAGGTAAAAAGACCACCTTTGCACGAGAGGAGAGGAGGAGAGATGATTCGAGGGAGCACAAGCCTGATAGGGGCCGTCAACTTTGTAACGTTCCTGATATCGATCCCCGTGCTGGGCGGCGGTATATGGCTGAGCGCCCGGGCCAACTCCACCGACTGCCTCCGCTTCCTGCAGTGGCCGCTCATCATCATCGGCATCACCATCATGGTCATCTCCCTCATGGGCTTTGCCGGCGCCTGCTACCGCCTCTCCTGGCTCCTCCGCGCCTACCTCTTCGCCATGTTCGTCGTCGTGGCCGCCCTCCTCGGCTTCATCATCTTCGCCTTTGCCGTCACCGACCGCGGCCGCGGCCAGGTCGTCCTCAACCGCGCCTTCCTCGAGTACCAGCTCGTCGACTACTCCGGCTGGCTCCGGGACCGCGTCGCCAACCCCGGCTACTGGGGCAAGATCAGCTCGTGCCTGCGCGAGGGCCACGCCTGCGCCGGCATGGCGCACTACGTCCGCGACCCCACCACCGGCGTGCTGGTGCCCGAGTCCGCCGATATGTTCTACCAGAGGCAACTATCCCCCATCGAGGTAACCGCTTGCGTTCCCCTTCCTTGCCCTTCTCTGTTTGCTTTTAGGGCAACAGTCTGTGAACAGGGGACTGCAAAAAAATGGCGTCTTTGGGCCAAACAAATTTGAATTCTCAGCAGCAGAAAACATTAACGGTGACAACTTTAAGCCAAAAGCTCCTTCTCTTTATGCTATGATTTCTATTTCCTTGCTTGATTCTTAGTGCCTATAAACAACTCTCTTTTGATGGATGAAAGCTTATGCTTTTGGAGTAAGAACAACCGGTAATTAGTAGGCCAAAAATAAGGTTCTTTTGCTGTTTATTGTTTATGCTCATCAAATGCTTCTAAATTAGTTGTTGTCCAAGAGAAATCTGCTTTCTCTGTTCTACATATTGATATCAGGATATCTCTGTTCTGCAAACATGAGTTCTTTCTTTCTCCTTTGTTCTAACGATTAAGAAGGGGGTGCCTTTTCTTCATTCATCGACTAACAAAAGTGACCACCATGGCTGTATGATTGAGGTCCGAGATCTTTTTCTATGCTACTGCTTGTGGGACGCAAGCTTTGTACCAATAGCCAAGAGACACATGGAGGACTTTTGTCTCCTGCAACAGCATAATAATCCCGGCACCACATGTTCCATGGAGTGGGAGGCCATACTTGGTCTCGAATCCTCCCTGCATATCCTGCACTCAGACCTCTTGTCCGAGTGTTTATGATTCTTTGTGGTTCTTCTTCTTTACCTGATCCAGGATTTGTCATGAAGAAGGCTCAGTTCAGTTCAAGTTGCAAACAGTATTACTGTAGATTTGACATAAAACAACATATCTGGCATCAACCATCACCGGCTGTGCCGCCTTCTTTGATCTTTTTCATGTCCTGCTGTTGTATCACTCCACTTGGATTATCTCATCATCAACCTTTGTTCTGTGCCAATTCAGCACCATAACCATAGCAATTAAGGTAGAGTATAGTGTTCCAGATTGTTTTGCAGAACTAACCTCGTGGATTCTTACTGAAATAGCTTTGCTTTTGCTAATTCTTTGCATGATTGTGAATAGACCTTGCTTATGGTAAATGGTGAAGAAATCCTTAGAACCAAACATGAAGCGAATCATGTTGATCCGTGGAATGGCTAAAGCTTTTGAAAAAAAGCAGGAAACCTAACCTTGATTTGCTCAGCTTCTTTGATCCATTGATTCTTACTGAAACATGAGTACATCGCTCTGGATTGTTTTACGGAGCTAATCTCGAAACTTAGGAAGCCCCTTCTCATCAATTGTTACTGAATTAGCTTCGTTTTTGCTAATTATTTGCATGATTGTGAATATAGGCCTTGCTTTTAGTTAATAGCAAAAACAAATTCTTAGAACCTGAATTGATGATGTGAAGTGAAGCATAATTGGCTCAACTTCTTTGATGCATTGATGATGTAGTCTGGATGCTGCAAGCCGCCCACCTCATGCGGCTACACCTACGTGAATGAGACGTTCTGGAACCCGGTGGCAGGGTTGGCGGTGGATGACCCCGACTGCATCCAGTGGAGCAACGACCAGCAGCAGCTGTGCTATCAGTGCAACTCGTGCAAGGCCGGGGTTCTGGCCAGCCTCAGGCACAGCTGGAGGAAGGTCTCGGTGATCAACGTCATCATGCTCATCGCCCTTGTCATCGTCTATGTCGTCGGATGTGCTGCATACAGGAATGCCAGAAGGGTCGACAACAACGAGGCCTTTGGAGCGACCAGGATGACCAAAGCTAGGCCAATCAGGTTCCAGTTTTAGAGCAGGTGTTGGGTTTACTTGCTTTCCTCTACAATGGAAGCATCAGGTTTACAAGGATCTGCTTGCATTTGTACATTTAGAGGTTACTCGTATTACTCCTCTCCGAGTACAAGACAGTTCACTGAACAATATGTTTCTATTCGATCTTAGTGAAATTTGAGTGAAGGGAATGAATCAAGAAGACTAAAGGTGAGACCTAGTTGTTCTTTGAGGTATGTTCATTCAGATCACAGTAGATGTCATCTCTCATACTTTGGATTCTTCTAATGCAGTTTGAATGACAAGTTCTTGCAAACAGCATGACCAGTCTAGTGCTTAAGATATGTAACATTGTAGGAAATAGGGAGGATCAAACACACATCCAAACTAGATCATACATAATCTTAGACTTAATTATTGTGTCAGAACACATCCAGTACTTGTCAAATGGGCCCTGAGGTGGATTCTGAAGGGTCTGGCCTTTGACAGATAGGGCTGTTCTGAGCAAATGGAAGCAATAAAATGCTCTGAACTCAGTCATTGCTATCCCATAAAATGCTTCATGATATCTGTCGAGTAGCATAGTAGCAGTCATTCGATATCTGAAGCGAGTCATGTGATTCCAATCCAAGTCACCTTCTCACGGGAATTTAGCTGACTGATACCATTTTATTGGTTGTTGAATGGTGGTTCTTCAGACCTGAAGAAGAAGAACAGCCTTCTGCTAAGTCTGATGTTTGTTTCCATGGTGCAAGTGAGAAACCAAGTCATCTGAAAGCTCCTTCCAGAGTGAGAAAGGGATCTGCCATGTCCCCAAAGGTCACAGCTGCTCCATGACGTGAGATCAAGCATCAAATCCTGGACAGAGACTGATGAGACCTTTGTGAGACCAGTTTCCATTTGGTATCCCAAAGTTTGCCATGCTAAACTTCTTCACAAGTTTGTGAAGATTTCCATTGATCGCTCATACACACTGTGGAGACATTAGAAGTCATCGGAACTCCCATGAACTGACATGATGTGTACCATAAAATGGATGTTTCTCCCTGGATTGACACCATTCCAAGTGGTGCATTGTGCCTCTAGATGATCATGACACACAACCTTCCACATGCCAATCATAAACTTAAACTATCTATTAATTTACCATACATGGGAAAAATGAATGTACTATCATTGACATGAGATTAAGCATTCTAAGCTAATGATTTATGTTACATATGTCATCATCTCATCATAAATAATAAGAATAGAAAAAAGAAGAAGAAGAAGTCATCATAATTGGATTCAAAAATATATTACATCACCATCATTATATTGTTATTAATCTATTTTGAATCGATGATTCAAATTTAACGAGATCAATATATCAATACTTCGCTCAAAAAGGCCGGACATCTACTTATAATTCAAAACTCTTAAAGACCACCTGCCAATTACTAGAAGTTGGTCGTCACTCCTCTCCCCACCTTCTCCGCTAGGCTACCGGAAATTGTGTTCTCACCGACTCCCATTGACCCCCCCGCAAGTGGTACATCCACAATGGAACAAAGAAGGAAGTAGGCAGACATGAGTCTAGATTTTGAAGCACTCCTTTTTTTTCTCCTTGTAGGTTTTTCAATGGATGCTTTGACTATGTGAGCAGTGGGACCTTTCGGGGTCAAATCTACAATGAGCAATTACGTACAATACAGTGGCGACTTTGCCTACTCTCGCAGGATTTTTGTATTGTGTTCCGAGGCTTCTTTGTCTTGGAGGTTCATCTTCGGTCAACCTCCGGCATCGATCTCCATTTGGCTACTTGCTGACCGCAGCCTCTCGGCTGGCACATTGGATACCGTAGTCAACCTACTCTCCTAACTCACCAATGTTGACACGTTGACTAATGTTTTAGGTACCACCGTTTCCTTCTCTTCCCCACTAGAGGTTATTTGTTTTGTTGAGAAACACCATTAAAGCGCGTGTGTGTTAGCTGCAAGGTTCGTCAATGGAGATCTGCATGGAGTTTTGTACAGCTAAGATGGATTGAACTTGCACCTAACTCCTTGTTCTCACTAGATGGGTGCGTGATGAAGAAAGTCTACGAGCTTTGAACTTTCTTTGCCTGTGTCATTTAAAGTTAGTGGGAAACCGAAGGACTCTTCCGAGCTTGTCGACATCAAATTCTCGTGTTGATGGGGAACTCATAATTCACGGAAATTGACATGAATTATTACATGGTAGAAATTGAAAGGACTACATGAAGTAAGTAAGCAACTCTGATCTTGTTGGTAGTGTCAAGGGGATACAACAACGAATGGGTTCTCCCTCCTCATCATTCATGTCTCTCGACTTTGTCGATCTTCTACGGGATTAATTACTAAGGAATTATTTGCTACTGAGGTGTTCGTCCAATCTCGAGTCATATCCAGAGGGGTTCGTCCCAAACTGAGCCCTCCTGGTTGATCTCATCGAGGAAGTATGCATCATTCTGAAGCAGGTAATTGCCGGCGGCGAGGGCGTCGGTGGAGCGAGGCGCGCGGTCCTGCTGATTCTGAGCCACTTCCACGCAGATCAAGGCGATGAGGTTCTTGTGCTGGGCTTGCAGGTTGAGGAGCTCCGCCTGCGCCTGCGCCAGTTGCGCTTGGAGCTCGTTCACCTGCTTCTGAAGCTGGAAGATGGCACCTGCACACCCGTAGACGGGATCCCGGATCCGGGCGTTCGCCTCGTACACCATGCTGCTCACGGCGTCCGCCCTCTGGCTCTCCGGGAGATCCTGCAAGCGCATGCGATCATTAACGTTATCTTGCAGTGGGATGAGTCGAAGATCTTGTAGTTGATGCGGATTGCTCACCTGCAGCAGCTTGATGATGTTGCTAGCACCGAACACGCGATGCGCGGTGGTGAACTTTAGCGGCTCGGTGGGCGGGAAGTAGGGCGCCAGGACGCATTTCCCGGCGCAGCGGCGGCGGAGGATCTTGCAGGCGGCACAGGGGCTGTGAATGACCGGCGGCGGAGGGGTCGTCGGGGGAAGGGATGGAGGAGACGACGAGATGGGGGAAGATGTAGGGGAGGAGGAGTTGGAGGAGGAGGAGGAGGAGGAGTGTTGGAAGCTAGAAGTGATGGTGGTGGTGGGGTCACTGGACTTCATGGCTTTGGAAGAGGGAGGAGGGAATGAGTCGAGATGGTGGTGGCTTGCTTCGAGTCCTGGGGAATACATATAGAGAGCGAGGGCGGAAGAGCATGACGCCATGGAGGTCAGCAGCGTTGAAGTCTGGGCTGCTGTGGAGTCTCAGCTGGCACAGAGTGAACAGAGACAGAAGAAAAAAACGAAACCTTCGGATTGAATCTGAAACCATAATCTGAATTTAATACCAGCTAGTCTTTGCAGTACAATAATTGCCAAACAAGATCTAAAGCTTCTTATCTTGTCTGCTGGTATTGCTCCCAACAGAGTGAGAAAAATCGCAGAGACAATCTTATCCATACAAATTAGATACTTGTCCACAAGCAGCAGTACACGTATCTACATATGATGATATTTTCCTCAGGTTGTGATTGACACTAAATCGCACATGAAGGAAGGATGGCAGGTGTTGTGGTTGTCAGCATCAGTTAGATGAGAGCTTTGTGCACATGGCAGCACCCACCCCTGTCATCCCCGAGCAGAATTGACCACCTTATACTCACCTTAGAACAAGTGCGTCAGAGATCACTCCTCCTTGTCCTCAGAATCCTCAATTTAAGGAGGAATTCTATGTCCAGTCTTTCCATGCATGTGAGAGATCAAATGATTTACTGCATCAAGCATTCATCCATCCATCTATCTATCTATCTATCTATCTAGAAACTCGTCCAAAGATTTTGGCTTCCTGCTTCTCCAGTGAGGAGACTGACTTCATCCATGAGCTGCATGCACGTAGAGCTCTCAAGTCTGTGTATGGTTCCTTACCACACACAAGACTTACGTAGACCTTTACCGTAGACTGCGGAGGAAGATATGTTATGGGAGTCGCGGAGAGCGGAGATTGGAGATGGGAAGTCTCATATATTCTGTGATGCATTGAATATGTGACGGTTAGGCAAAATGCAGTCCTGTGACCGAAACGAAGAGTCAAGAGAATTTAATGGAAGTCACCACAATTCACCATCTCATCTTCCTTGTGGAGAAAAAGGTTAGAGATATGCTGCCAACCAACTTGAATCCAATGATGAACTGGAGATGAATCATAAGGATATGTCATTAAGTATTGGAATGAGAGATGCATGCTAATCCAGTCGTCAAATTAGGAGCCTTCTACATCAGCAGTGCCTCTTGACCAGGGAAAAGCATTGTAGAGCTGAGTTAATGATGGAGTTCCTATTTATTATGTTGACGATTCCTTACTGTTCGGTCAAAGAGAATGATAATTAATGGCGGAATGAGGTGGTCTTCTTCTTCTTCTTTTTCACGAGGACATCAAGGAAAATATAGCTTACTGTTTCGGTGTAGTGCACATCAAATCCAAAAACCATGCTATCTGCATGCACACAGCCCCACACGGCATCCATCTTTTGCTTGGATCTGAGCAGTTCCCCACTAGCTTTGGACTCGGAGATGGTTGGGGATGCATATGCTGCCAAGGGGGAGCAGCCATGTAAAGCTTTTTTCCATCATCTTCTTCTGCTGCGTTTTCTTCGATTTCCAGCAACTCTCTCTCTCTCTCTCTCTCTCTCTCTGATGCAGACAGGTTGGTGTAATGTGATGATGACACAACTTTTTCCCCTTTCCCACCTCTTTATCTCTTCTTCTTCTCACTCGCTGTCGTTGGATGAAGAGAGGGACCGGAGTGTCAACTGGGAGTGGTTGGACGGCACCTCTCTCGGTTAAAGCCAACTTGGCCAATCATCATACTACCGTGGACTTCATTGACATGGTGGCGAGGAAAACATACGACTCATAGACTTTCTTAGATTCTTATAAGATGAACATATGTTAGTGGAAGTTACAAGCAATCGGTGTATTAATCTTATATTTAAGATCGATCTTACTTAGGTCTCATGTTCTATACCATCGTAAGAGCGTTTCTACGTGTGTCAATGTTCCATGACTCTTATAAGTTGGAAGCTTTTATTGATGAATTATTATATAAATAATATATCTCATGTTCGATTCCACGTGAACAAAATATGCATGTAAGAAAAATATCTTCTTCTCTTTTTTTTTTGAAAAAAATGAATAACTTAAACTAAGGCTAAGAAAACAATGATTGAATGGGTTGGGTTGGGTTGGGTTTGGTTCCTACAAGCAATACTAAGCATAAATTACATGGTGTTGGCAACCAAAGCCCAAATTGATCTCTTGTCCATTATAATATAATAATTTATCCTTTTTAAATTATCAAATATTATATGTAATAGCTGACTAATTAAATTCAGACCGATTCATTTAAAATCATAAGATTTTTAATTTGATGGTTTTTCTTTACTCAATCAATAGTTTTGTTGTTCAGCTAATATCATTATTATTTTGTTTTGTTTATTTATACTATTATATGTATTATTATTATTATTATTATTATTATTTCTTACTCAGGGAAAGGGTTGCAGCGTTTGCTCCACGTAAACACAAAGACACGTGGTAGGACAAAGTCCGTTCGATCTAAATCTTCGGCTCAGTAAGTACCGCAAACGATCACCGTCAGATGCTTCAATCCGACGGCGAGGATAGAAACCCTAGTCTTGGCTTGGGAGATCGCTGTATAAGATGGGATGGATAGCATCCTGCCTCTGTCCTCCTGCGCCGGTCGCTCGTCTGTTGTTTCTTTGCTCTCGGTGCTCCAATCTTATCTTCTCGAGAGCATTGTCCGGTGAGTTCTATCGTCTCTTTCTTATGATCCTTGGTAACTACACTCTTTGTGTTCCTTATGTTAGGTCTTGGACTAAGGTACCTGTGTTATGTTCAGTTGCTCAACGATCAGAGGCTTTGTTTCTTCCATTTCCAGATTCTGGGATGTATAATTTGGTTATTGATCTTAAAGTTGCAATTTTCACTTTTTTGCAAGTGTTATGAGATCCCGTCTATTGAGTCGCCCGTTTCGACTGCCTCTATCATGGCGCTATTGTTGCTGTTGGTGATGGACGGTCTTAATGTTCTTTAAATACATTACGAGGAAAAAAAGAGTCTTTTTTTTATCGCTTTTATTATACTTTATAACGTTCTCATACTTTTAATCATATAAGTTGGTCTCGGGATTATTTGCCTCTGCTTTCAGCTACGAGTAACTTAAACTGAGTATTTCTTAGTAGCTTTGTCCTGGAGGCATATAGTGATACTCGATCGAGTGGATTTCATGTCCTGAGTTGCTTCCTGGTTGACTCAGGATATCCTTCTCCCTGACATGTTGGCATAAATGCGTCCATTGTATACTTTGCTTGATTGTTTTGTGACTGGTTTAGGAGTTGGTATTTTGTCCTAATCTCACATGTGCAAGGGAATGAAACATGTGAAATGCTAGGAATTATACATCTGTTGTGCCATTGAAAGTAAACAATCTGAATTTTATCCATTTTTTGTCTTTTTCATATTAAGTTCAAATCATTTTGTGACATAAATTTAAAAGTAATTTTTTTCTATTTCTTTGTTTGTCCTGGAATGGACATTCTTGAAGTTTATGTAAAACTTAGGGTACATAAGCTCCTCATATTTCTGGTAGCCATCTTTAAGTAACACTTCTCGAAAAGTTGTCTATGCTATCTTGAAAATTTGTCTGTTCATTTTTTTTTCTAATGTATGGATTGAAGAACTAGACCAATAGAAGTCATGGTCTCTGGTGTGCTTATTATATTTCCATGTTGTACTGCTATGGTAATTTTGACATTTACTTTTATCATCTGGGCTCTTGGTTTGGTCATGATTTGTGATGGTAACTTATGCATTCTTCATTGTTTACTGTCTTCTTTCTCATATCCTTCATTTCCCTATTTTTTGGATGCATCAATCAATTAAATTCTGTAGTTTTTCATGATTTGCCTTATTCAAGTCAGTCTTTAAGATGACGAGTCACCTTCCTTTAGGATTTGGACCAAATACTAGATGTTTTCTTCGCACTTATTGTTTGTGTTTTTTCCTCAACAAGCACCTAGTTTGTGTTTTTCTTGAATGTGCTTATATCTTCTAGATGCTTGTTTTTTTCCTATCTAATACTTCTTTAGAACTTTTATAGTGTTTTCTTCCATTCAGGCACCATGGGTAAGGAAAAGGTACACATAAGCATTGTTGTCATTGGTCATGTCGACTCTGGGAAGTCGACCACCACTGGCCATCTTATCTACAAGTTGGGTGGCATTGACAAGCGTGTGATCGAGAGGTTTGAAAAGGAGGCTGCAGAAATGAACAAGAGGTCATTCAAGTATGCTTGGGTTCTTGACAAGCTTAAGGCGGAGCGTGAAAGAGGAATTACCATTGATATTGCTCTTTGGAAATTTGAGACCACCAAGTATTATTGCACGGTCATTGATGCTCCTGGACACCGTGACTTCATCAAGAATATGATTACTGGAACATCCCAGGCTGACTGTGCTGTTCTTATCATCGACTCTACCACTGGTGGTTTTGAAGCTGGTATCTCCAAGGACGGTCAGACTCGTGAGCATGCATTGCTTGCTTTTACTCTTGGAGTCAAACAGATGATTTGCTGTTGTAACAAGGTAAACATCTTTGGCCACTCGGTGAAACATATTTCTCATCTTTCTCTTGTTAATCATATTTGGAATTACTTGTCTAGTTTAAATTGTATCAGTTGTATCTCCATTGTTCTCTGATACGCCGTCTCTTCTTAATTCTTACATTTGAATTTATGTTCCTTTTCCAGCACTTTGATGAAAACCTTTTTGTCTAAAAGCTCTGCTTATCTTTCTCTCTAAACTGGATTATTTTGCATACTTCTGTTATTTGACAATTTTGAGTTTCCGTAATGCCACATTACAGATGGATGCAACAACCCCCAAATATTCAAAGGCTAGGTATGATGAAATTGTGAAGGAAGTTTCTTCTTACCTCAAGAAGGTAGGCTACAACCCAGAGAAGATACCCTTTGTTCCCATCTCAGGGTTTGAGGGTGACAACATGATTGAGAGGTCTACCAACCTGGACTGGTACAAGGGCCCGACCCTTCTCGAGGCCCTCGACATGATTCAGGAGCCAAAGAGGCCCTCGGACAAACCTCTTCGTCTCCCTCTCCAGGATGTGTACAAGATTGGAGGCATCGGCACCGTGCCAGTTGGACGAGTTGAGACTGGTATCCTCAAACCTGGTATGGTTGTTTCCTTTGGTCCCACTGGGCTGACGACTGAGGTTAAGTCGGTTGAGATGCACCACGAAGCCCTCCAGGAAGCCTTGCCTGGTGACAATGTCGGTTTCAACGTCAAGAATGTTGCCGTCAAGGATCTCAAGAGAGGTTTTGTTGCATCCAATTCCAAGGATGATCCTGCCAAGGAGGCTGCCAACTTCACTTCTCAGGTCATTATCATGAATCACCCTGGTCAGATCGGCAATGGCTATGCCCCTGTTCTGGACTGCCACACCTCCCATATTGCTGTCAAATTCGCCGAGATCCTCACCAAGATTGACAGGAGGTCAGGAAAGGAACTCGAGAAGGAGCCCAAGTTCTTGAAGAATGGCGATGCTGGTTTTGTCAAGATGATTCCCTCCAAGCCCATGGTTGTGGAGACCTTTGCTGCATATCCACCGCTTGGTCGTTTTGCCGTGAGGGACATGCGGCAAACAGTGGCCGTCGGTGTCATCAAGAGCGTCGAGAAGAAGGATCCCACAGGTGCTAAGATCACCAAGGCTGCCGCCAAGAAGAAATGAGTTTTCACGACCCTTTTCTATCAGAGTGTAAGAGTGTACTATGACTTCCCAATTTGTTGTTTGCAAGTGTGTTTGATTTAGGAACCTTATTGTTTTGGGACATATGTTTTCCTTGTTATCATATATTTATTATCTTGCAGAACTTCATCACCAAAATCGTTGATCTTTGATTCGATCTCAAAGCTTATCATCAACAAGTGGTATCTATCAGAATGTAACATGTTGTTTGATGCTGCTTTCTGCTAATATTTTAGGATGGGGTGATAAGACCAGATAGCATATTTCGATTCAGCAATCATATGCTTTTCTGAACCAAATGGATCAACATTTCTTGATTTAGACTCGATCGATGAGTTCAATGATGAATCGAGTCCAGTTCGGCCCGACAACCTCTCTGGTCTTGGAACCAACCCATACTTGCCCTTCGGTTTATCCCCGTGCGCGTGTCGAGTAGTAAGAACTCGCATTAATCTGCTTTCCCCATGGCCACCATTAGATTCCCTCCTAACACCTGCCACTTCTGCTACTTCTTGTCAGTGTCAGTGACAGCATCCCCCTTCTCTCTCTCTCTCTCTTGTCTGTATCTTCTTCAACTGTCACGAACACAGAGATCTCGAGGAAGGAAGAAAGGAAGTCATGGCTTACATTGGTTCTCTTTACAGAGTCTATATTGACAGCAGCTTCATACATCGGATTCCAGCGAGAGACAGCAGAAGAAAAGAAATAGAAATGGGAACGGAGAACAACAGTAAAGAAACGCAAAGCGACAAATGAGCTCCCGGTGGTGCTCGCTGACGCCTACGCCGCCCTCCTCCTCCTCCATGCCGGCTCCGACCTGCTTCGCGTCAATACCAGTGGCCGCTGCGACTCCGACCCCGTTGCCGCCTCCTCTTCCTCCTCATCCTCCTCTTCTTCCTCGTCCACCTCCGACAACTCCGCCGCAGCTGCCGCCAGGTCGCGCCACCTCTCGTTGCTTTTGTTCTTCTTCTTCTTCCTAAGTTCGGTATGGCCGCTCTCCGCCTCGTCTCCGCGTGCAGACGCCGGCGGAGGTGGCAGTTGGTGCTCCGGAAGCGAGGAGACGGCGCACCGCGCGTTGGTGGCGAGCGAGGTCGCGCTGTTGTGCGGCGCCGATCGGCACCTCATCAGCAGGAGCGCGTTCTTCGGCGGCGCCGAGGCCACGAACACCCTCGTCGCTTCCTCGTGCTCCTCCGCCTCCGCCTCCTCGTCCCCCTCGTCTGTTTTTATTACGATGAACTCCAGCGGCGGTGCTCTTGGCGAATCCGGTTCCCGCCGTTGGTACCCGCCAGATCGGCCGCCCAGGGGCACCCACCTCCGCCACAGCGACCGCCCTCCGCCGCCCTTGGGCTTCTTCCGAGCCGGGAAAAGACTGCAGAGCAAGGCCTTGTGGAAGCACTGGCAGGGCGGTTTCGGGTCCTTCGGCCGAGGCGTTTCGGGCTGCGCCGGTTTCTTGTTCCGGATTCGAACCTGGCCGATACAAGTCACCTTCGGTGAAGATGGCTCTCCTTCCTCCCCCGCCGCCGCCAGGGCCGCTTGCGCTGCCTCGGACGAGCGGCCCACGCTCTTGCTGCGGGAGCTGAACATTGGGCTGGAGCGGCCGGCGTGGCGGCCGCGGCTCCGGCTGCCACTGCCGGTCAGGATCCGGGGCCAGGCCCGGGGCCGGGAGCTTCTCCCGGCCGGGGCTCGACGACACCATGGCGGCCGCCGTCCTCATCATCTTGCTTGCCTCCTCCTCGCCTTTGCCTTGTTTGGGTAACAGAACATGAGGAACGGATATATTGGCGTAGGCCGCGGAGGTCTGTGCATGCGATCATGTGATCGTTCCCCGCCTCAAAATAACGGTAATTGTAGCGGTTTCAAACCCGTTTCATAAACCGTTACATCAACACACATCACTCAAATATATAAATATATAAATGTATATGTATATAATATTTTAATACATAGATAAATTATTATAAAACGATTTTTATTTAAAAAAATATCTTTTTTTTAAAAAAAGAAATACCTCATTTTCAAAATTTTCTCTAATACCTTGAAAAAAAAAATTGTATATATTAGATGAAAAAGAAAACGCTATTGAGAAATCATAAAACGGAGAATGTTGCCAGGGTTTCAAAAATCCGTCCAATTATGATCCAAAAATGCATAATGAATGGATCATAAGGTTATATGCAAGAAGTCCCTCCAATACCACAAAACTTAACCCTAAATAACTGGAACATTATAGCTTGTTGGATGTATAATGATTGCTAGAGAAAGTATTATTTGTATGATGACTATTATTTTATACATGATGTGAAAAATCATAATGTATTATAGCATTATTAATAAGATGGATTACATGACCTACTACTAATAATGTGGCACATGGTGCGCGTATGGGTTCACATGGAACTCATGTAGGTCCTACCACTGCACTCCCCATCAGCACTTCCCCCATCACATTGAATGCATCTATTTGCATCTGTGCACGTGAAGTGTCACTCTGTAGCACGTGACTCACTCTTCCCCAGTATGACCTGATACTGATCAGGTAGTTTTACCCCACTGAAAACAAGATCTGGAAGAAAAGAGGTCAGAAATTTCAAGTCAATATATCCATGCCAATCCCTTTCATCAAATTTTGTGCCAAACCTCAGTAGTTAGGGTAGTATGCATGTCTGAAAAATAATCAGAAATCAGCATCACGTAATGGTGCCAAAAAAACAAAACAAAAAAATTGTAGACATGCATGGGAATGGGAGTCAAAGAATTTGGCACAGCAGAGATGCATCAGATGGACAAAAGAGGATCCAATGTCCAGCTCATCCATCATAAACTTTCTTTATACCTATTTTGAGTTCATTTTTGTGGACGGGTATGAGTTCTTACAGCTCTCCCATGTTTATCAGTTCAATTGTTCATTTAGATGAGGTGCATAAGCCATAGAAATATGAGAATCAAAACAACCATATGTCCATGACCACAAATGCTGGTTTCATGCTGAAGAATGCAAAGTACAGTAGGATTAAATATATTCAACATTGGGTAATATATATATGCACATTAATGAGCTAAGTAGTTTCATGTATAAGTTGATGTAATTTTGGTAAATCCCAATTTCAGGAAAGTGTGTTTGGTGTTCTCTTGGAGGACCAAGGTGGAGATGCTCAACTGATGCAGTAGTGAAGAACTTTGAAGATAAAGATTTATACAGTATTTGAAATTACAAATATTCATGATAATCGAGTGCAAATGCAGTTATCATCAAGCGGAAAACAATGTCGGAATAAACCTACGAAAATATGATTGTCTCATCTTAATGACTTAACAAGCAACAGATAGCAGGAGAACAGTACCAGGAGCAAGATCATCTTTCAAGATCTTCTATACATGCCTCTGGAGACAGCAGGTTCATGTATGCCTGGCTTCATACTGGAATCAGGATATTGTACGCCATGTTTGATCTCAATCTTTTTCCAACAGATAAACCTGCACCGAACAGGTGAATCAATTTAAACTGATACATCGACAGGCCAGACTTCTTCAAATATGTAAGATGGGTGGAAGACACAACTGCCATACCTATGCTCTAACAAATATTGGTCCGTAAAACAAGCATGATGTCCTTTTTCCTACAGCTAATCTATATATTAAGAATCACACATCACAAGACTTTCTCATCGCTGAAGTAAATTCCTACACATTTTTGTCACTAGAAAGCATCTGCTGATTGCTTTTGTAACCATCTTGCCACATGATTTAGTTTTGAGTCATTACTATATCAAAATTTCTATTCACAAGCTGATGTTTTGATTACTGGAGTCAATGATGAACATCACCATAAATGAATAGCGACCTAAATCCTTGGAAAGGATTCAATTACTTGGACTCATCGTCATCACTTTTATATTCATCAATCATTGACAAGAAGGTTACATACAAGTAAAAACAGTCGGAATAATCACTAATCAAGTCTTTGCAAACGAGTTGTTCAACACAGCCAATGAACATTAGCCACATGAAAATTTCACAAGATATGGCCTTAGATCTTTACATATATATATGCAGCATCGAGGATGCACTTTCACAGAGATAACTCAATTTACATGATGTTAAAAAGAAACTGGTATATTATTTAAGGAAAAGTGAAAAGGCCAAGAGTACAATAGCCAAATATTTTTAAAAGCACCTAGTTGGTTTAAACAAATTAATTTCATCAAAGCACATGCAGCAACTACTAAACCGAGATCAACTCTCTGAGATGCCTTCAGTATTAAGATCTACATATGCTAACGATTCAGTCTACCATTTTAGACTACGTTATCAATGAATGTATTTCTTTGAAAAGAAACAATCTAACTTTGGTCGAAGGCCTTGGAAGAGAAACTGAGATATCATTTCACGTATATGCAAGTACTTTAATTCATGTGTTAATTCCCTTCAGAAGCTCTCTTTTAAAACTTTGAAAATGCAGTTCTATTATAGATAAAGCATTTCTTCTAAGCTCTATTTTAAATTTACTTGTAGCATCAATTATAAATTGAGCTCCACATCTCCAATTCCTTGTTAGACTGAAAAGTCGAGTTATTGCCTACCAAATTCCTCTCTAACTGTCCTTTTACTACACAACTATACTCCCTGACTCTAACCTTGTTCTCGTGCCCCACGTTTTCTCCCCCTGAAATCCTTTTCCTCCAAAAGTTCACCCAAATCAATGAAACTTACTGAAGACTCAAAATGGAGCATATTGAACAACCACATCATAGACATGTAACGAAGAGTGAGGACTCAAAATGAAGCATATTGAACTACTAGAAACGGAAAAACAGGAAAAGAAAGAGAAGTTGACAATGATCACAAGGTCAATGAAGTTTAGATGACTAACATTAATTAACAAAGAAATCTCCAAGTTTAAAAATAAAATCTAAGGAACAGCATAAACCGAAAGACTGGTTTGTTCATAATAATTGTTGTTCTTGTTCTTCAATTTCACATGAACTGTGGAACCCAAATAATACAAGTCATGACTTGGAGCCATCATTTTGCCATGGATCTCGCAAATTGCTTACTAGGAAATGATTTCAGGATATATGTCAGGCATCACTGAGGATATCAACCTTTTGAATATGGTAGATTGTGCTGCTCCAATTAGTCCCATAGTTGTAAGCAGGAGAGACATTATAATGGCATATAAGGTTTTACATGGGCTCACTAATAATGAAACAGGTTTAAGCATTTTGGACAAGAACCCGTTATATATCAGGGCTATTTGATCTAGTGGGCCTATTGGGTCCAATCATCATTGTATGTAAAAAAAAAAGGAAAAATACAAGGTTTCTAAATTCTGGCTAGTTGGAACCATTATTGCCAAAATTCTATTTAATTCTCAATCATTTAGTCCCCTTAGACTATGCAAGAGATCTACATGCTGTGTCTTCTGATAAATTTTTCTTCACCATCTCACTGTTAGTGATCGATACTCTAAGCATAAGATATTCAACAACTATGCATATCAAAAGCTGACTATGGATACACAAATGTCAACTCTATATAAACTAAAATGTCTGAGTATAAATTCAAAGGACTCCACGTGTCAGTCTATCTTATTGTTCATACTTCATCAGATACATGTACATATAAACATTTTACATTTCTATTTTACATCTTCTATGGAACATGGGCTACTTCCAACAATATCAACTTATAACTCTGTATATGAGTATAAGATCAACCTAAGCTAAACAACAATCTTTTTGTCAAGAATTAGAAGTGTTAAGCATTCAATAGGAAGAAAAGACGTATATTTTGCACATGATAGTTCACATAAACATTAAAAATGTTTGTATGTTTAGAGGCGATGATCAATTGATCATCAGATTTTTAGATTGCAGAAGATCAGGTCCAAGGTTTGCCATAATTGAAAAATACCAGGTTTTTTTACCAAAAGAAAATTACCAGGTGAATGAGTGAACCGAGAAGAGAACAATAAGCTGTGGACACTTGAAACTTGCTAGATCAAAGAAGTTGTGGTGGAGGATCAACAGAAATAAGACCGTCTTATGAAAAGCAACTGATGGTGGTAGACAAAATGAGTGAAATAATTAATATTGGTGATACGAGAAGAGGTAGAAGAAGACTAAAAATTCTTTAATAAAAACTATAAATAAAGATTTAAGTACACTAAACTTAACTAAATAAGATATAGTGGAGGGTCAACTGAAATAAGACTGTCTTATGAAGAGCAACCGATGGCGATAATCAGAAGATGTGCAATACTTAATATTGATGGTACGAGAAGAGATAGAAGAAAACCTAAAAAGATTTTAATAAAACTATAAATAAAGATTTAAATATTCTGAACTTAACTAAATAGATGACATTTTTACAGATCATAATGGTAACAAAAAATTCATATAGCTGATCCCAAATAGTTGGGACTTATGTTGTTGTTGTTGTTATGAAAAACAATCAATATTTCCGCTACCTAAAATCAACAAGATTGAGTATTGTGCAAAAAGGCATGAATATTTGATTGTAGAACGAAAGAGTCATTGTCACAACCCAATGATATAAGCCCTAAACACTTTCAAGAGTAAGAACAAGAAACAGCAAAGTATATAAATGACTACCAAGAGAATTAAAAGATTAGGAACAAAGAATCCAGCAATGTACCGGGGTTCGTTCAATCCTTGGCTGGTTTCTTCCTGGCAGCCCTTGCATTGTCGTACTCGAACTTGAGCACGTTCGGGATGTGCGTCGAGTCCTTGATGTACAGGAATCTCCCGATCGCGCTCTCCTCCACTGCCGGAAAGAAGTCCACCAGCATCGTGTTCACGATCCAGTACCACCCGGCCCCGAGCAGCAGCCCCAGCGTCGATCCCGCGAGCACCTGACCGATAAATCAAATCATTCCCCTTATCACACAAAAGATTGAATCCTTGGCTGATCCGAGAGATGCGGGTGCCACCTGGGGGACGGTGTGGTAGCCGAGGTAGACGCGCGAGTAGAGGGTGAGGAAGGCGGAAGGCCACGGGAGGAGGGCGATGATGCGTCTAGAGCTGGGGGAGGAGACGCCGACGCCGTTGATGAGGCAGAGGAGGGAAAAGTAGGTCGAAAAGAAGAACATGAACTGCGAGTGGCTGGAGGGCCAACCGTGGGAGTCGCAGACCTCGAGGACGGCGCACATCGACGAGGGGCGGGACTGGTGGATGGAGGATTTGATGAGCTCGTTGATGACCTGGGAGATAATGAGGCCGAGGGCGAAGCAGAGGCCCTGCAGCTCCCGCCGGAAGATGAAGTGGGAGATGAACCCACCAAAGCTGATGAAGACCGGGATCAGGGACACCCACGCCAGGAAGTGGCCCAGGGAGTCGCCCCGCGGGTACCGGACGTGGGTCAATGTAACCGCCTTCAGCGCCGCGGCCGGTGCGTCCTCCATTTCCCCAGTGGCGACGGGACGAGAGCGAGGTACTGGATCCGCGGGCGGCGGGCGGCAAGCGGCGGCCGAGGGCGGAACGAAGGAAGGAAGGTGTTCGACCTTTTGATCGTGGATGCGTGTGGCGTGCTTGTAAGGATCGTGGATGGTCTGCGGGTTCAACGCGTACGTTACCAAATGTCATCAAAATTATCAAGTTCGCCATCATCTTTCTCGTTCTTGTCATCTTGGATCTACTCACCGCCCGAAGTCAAATTTCAAAAAGTCCGCAAGCGTCTGATTGTAATTACAGACCATCATGATTGATCTGATCCACATGTTGGAAGTCAACCGGAGGGTATATATAGAAAAATGTCGATATTTGAAATGACAAATGTGTCATATCAAAAATAATGAAGTCACCGAAGTAAGAATAAGCAAGTTGAGGATGGACTAACGTTGCGTTTGAAACGTATTTATATTTTAATATATAATTAAAGAAAAATATTTGAGTGACGGTACCATTATAAAATATTTAAAGTATTTCATAAATAATAAATAAAAATTATATTTTTAATATGTATTAACGTAAGTATTATTTGGTAAAATTATATTTCAAAAGTTCTGATAAATTTACATTTCCAGTGTTTTAATATTTATTTGAAAATAAATAAATATTTTTATTTAAATTAATTAGTAAATGTATTTTAAAATTTTAATGCTATCATGAGATAATATCGGTATTTGATTATTTATAATATAATATTCAGTCAAATATAATTAAAAAGTTATTAAATGTTAATTTATATTTAAAAATATGCATTAATCCTAATTCAAATGTGTTCCTAAACACGCCTAGGATGGAAGTTTCCATTGGGCTACCTTAACTTAGACGGTACGTTAATCGATTAATGATCGGAAACGAGCAGTCGCTGTTAGAATCGGTGCTTTAAATATCGTGCCGGAATACGATTGGTCGTTATGATGTGGCCATCACTCGCCGTGTCCCGCCGCTTCATGCTACGTGGAGTACTGTTTGCCACGACAATTTTCCCGTCACGGCATGCCGTGTGCGGCTCGATCACCGTCCACGTTCACTTTGATCACGACGTATGCCTCTGTCGGCAGCTCGCCGTCGCGATCCCTCCGGTGCGTTCTAACGCAGCTGTCTGCGACCAGCCGCAACCCATCTCAGTCCCCGAAACCAAAGGTCGGAGCTATCCTATCTATACGGAGACAGGGAACACGGTTTTTCTCCACTCGGTCGGGCCTGCGTCTCTTTGCTAGCCACGTGGACATGTGGGCATGTTTGTTGGACCGAGTTAGGTGTTCCCTGCGTTGGAGCAGATAGGAAATCACATGTGGGGAAATAATTGAACAAAGCAGTATGGCATATCCATATCATTATTCCTCCGACGGAGAGTCCGACCGCGCGGGTAGGGCGGCCGTTCCGACGGTTAACACGCTGCCAATTCCCGACGCTACTTAGTCTCTTTTCCTCTCCGTTCCCGACCACAATATTCTTCTCCAAACCCCCGAAGAAAGCCCAGTCAGGTCGGTGAGATGGGGAGCTACAAATGCTGCTTTTGCTTCACGAGGAAGTTCCGGTGGAGCGAGGCGCAGCCGCCGGCGGACGTGAGGGCCGCCTTTGACGCCCACTCCGAGGGCGGGACGCACATGACCGCCGACCAGTTCCGCCGGTTCCTGGCGGAGGCGCAGGGAGACGCCGCCGTCGCCGACGTTGAGCGGGTCATGGAGCAGGCCCTCGAGCTCGGCCATCGGCAGCTTTTCCATCGCAAGCACTTCAAACCCGTATTCACCGTAGATGACTTTCATCACTACCTCTTTTCTGAGGAGCTCAACCCTCCCCTCAGATCTCAGGTACCTTCCTTTCTTCTTCGCGATCCTTGGGTTCTTTCCGGACCCTAGTAAATTTTGGACACGCTGTTAGATAAACAAATTTGTCTCTTTTAGTTATCTTGAAAAATATTTTCTCGTGTTATTAGGTGTTTGATTGATTGTCTAAAAGACGATTAATTCATCATCTGCTTTTGTCATGGTTTTGTTTCTACTTGACAATAGGAACTCTCAGTAGGTATGTATATCAATATGGATGACTGCTTTGTTTCAGGAATCAGATCGATCACAATGTGGCATATGTGTATAGATTAAGCTTGCTTAGCCACATTATGCTTTGGCAAAAATATTTTGAATTGTAATATTTTGTGTGAATGTCAGTTGATCCGATCGAGAAAACGACCTTTTCTCTCATGTCATTTTCTCTTTTATCAGAATCTGGCACACTTACGTCATGGGAAAAGAAAAATCCTGACTGTCTTGCATAATCAATATGGCAACATTCACTGGCATACTGTATATGACACTGAAAACAGGGAAAAAAGAAGCTAGAGGAATCCAAGTTAGTTCTTTTTTTTGTATGAGGCAGGTAATTAGCAGTTATGATGTTCACATGATGAGGACAATTAAGTAGTTTTCACCTGTATGTCAAGAACTGTATAATATATTTCTCTCATATATGAGCATGAAACATGCAATTTTTTCTTGGCTAGATATGTAGTTCCACTAATGATACTATGTGTGAGGAAAAAGGATATGATATTGGCTGGTTGATACAAAGAACTAAAAGGTAGCATAGTTTTGCTAATTGATTGGTTCAAATTTTAATGTGTAACATTTCTTGTTCTCATAATTTGTCTGGGGCAAGGGTTATAAAGAGTGTTGATTTACTCTCTATATTAACACCAATTATCCAAGTGTCTGATACATATCAAATGCCCACCCAACTAATTATTGACTTTTTTTCACTTAGACTTTGAGCTAGTAATGCTGCATCTCTTGCTTGTTGGGTAAGTTGAAAAATCTTCTGTTGGGAGGAATATTATGGTACCTAGGCATTACCTATGAATATTTATCCCTTTTTTTCCACTTGTTTCAGGAACTGTTTTCTGTTAATTTTCCCCTTTTTTTTTGTTTGAGATTGCTGGATAAATCTATTTTCTATTGCATGAGCTTAAACTGCAAATCATAACATTAATCTTTCTTGTTTCCAACCATACTTTTGTGTTCTGTGTCATGTCAAAAATTAGATTATTTACTAGAATCAAGCAACCTTCTCCATTATGATTTATGTTTGGAAGTGTTTTATATCATCTGAATTATGGCCTATGTACCAGTTGCTTATGTTAGTAGTCATATTTTGTCTGTTTTCCCATTTCCTCAGAGACGCTGACAAAATTGATGTGATCCCACTTTTTTTTTTTGCAACATGAGGAGTGCAAGTAGTTTTGTTAACGAAAATCGTTCTTGTTTCCCACTGTTCTGCCTATGCTTTGAGGCTTACTTTATAAAAGATACTGGATGTCTTGTTCATAGTATAACATCAGATATTTATTTAGTACAAAAAGCAATTTCCATGTGTTGTATACTTGGAAACATACTTTTTTCCATTTAATTTTTGAACTCTTGAAAACTGATACTGCATACTTTAACTGTGAACTAATATTCATAATTTTTTATATAAACAGGTTCACCAAGATATGACTGCTCCATTGTCCCATTATTACATCTACACAGGGCATAATTCATATTTGACTGGAAACCAGCTCAGCAGTGATTGCAGTGATGTCCCAATTATAAAAGCACTCCAGAATGGTGTGAGAGTAATTGAGCTAGATATGTGGCCTAATGCTACCAAAGATAACATTGATATTCTTCATGGGAGGTAATGAAACAATGCCCTCAATCTCATAATATTGACTAAATAGGTTCTTAATCTATCGTTCAAACTCTTTTTGTCTTGTGCTGTTTTGACACTAGAGTCACAGGTATATCTAGAGAAACTAGAGCATGAACTAAAGTTATAAAGGTCCATGTTAGCTAGGTGTTTTGGATTAAAGACAGTGTAAAAACTACTTAATTTGGTAACAATATTAATTGCATACTTCAGTAGAACCTGATTCTCTGGTATCTGTTTGTATCTCTAAAGAAAGTTACCCGATACGTGGTTAGCTACTTTATCCAACACTACCTTACTGTATCAAGTCTCTGTTATCACTCCCCTTGCTGCACTTCGGCGATTTGTCAATTTTAACTTTCGCTTTTTGAGTTGAAATGTAAGAGATTGTTTCAGAGTCACTTTAGAGAAAGATCTAAAGAATTTAGATAACTATTGAACCTGGTTCAACAAACAAAACAACAAAATTTTGAAACTCTTTCTAGGCCGAATTCGGTCCATGCATTTTATTTGTATGTCGCTCAGTAACAGATGTGGGCCTATTAACAGGCAACAATATCTGATTACAAGAGACATTTCCAAATGAAACTAATAATGTATTGCCTGGAAGATTTTAGTGATAATAGTTGGAAATGAAATCATCATAAGGTGACGGCCTTTAAAGAAATCTATGGATATATATAGGCACCTCAAAGGTTATTGATAACTATCAAGTATATTTCAATTAGTGCTCTACATAGTCTTAGGACTACCTTCCTTGTCGATTGGCATTTGCAAAGGATCCATTTAAGTAAGATTGTTTTATTTAGAATGCACCATAATTTGGAAATTTATTAAAGCAATTTGTTTAGAGATATTTGCCACATAAAGCTTTCAGCGGAGATGGTTTTTGTCTGACCATGACATATATAACAAGAAAACCAATATCGACATCGATGGAAGGATAGTTTCGGAATGCAAGTAGTGCCAATTATAATGTTTTAGGGAGCAGGATCATTATTGTCATCATGCACCACCCACTTAAATATTGGGCTGTGGATCATAGTTTTTCTTGGATTACTAGTGGAATGAAATTTTTAGTTAATTTCTTTGTGCATATAAGTTTAATCAAAGTGGACCTATGATGAACAGCAAGACATGTTTAGAATGATTCTTGTGTGTTTCCCCATCATTATCGATAACTTATTTGAACATGATGATGTCTGCTTGTTGCTGCACATGGACCTTAATGAAAATAAAACACTGAATTCTGCATTTTGGTTACCAGAGATCAACCAAGTTGAGCTTAATAATGCATTATAATTATTTCATTATTTCTTTCTGATTGTATTATTTTAGCTTTGCAGGACTTTAACTTCTCCTGTAGAACTTATTAAATGCTTAAGGTCCATCAACGAGTATGCCTTCTCTGCATCCCCATATCCTGTTATCATAACTTTGGAGGACCATCTTACTCCTGATCTTCAGGCTAAAGTAGCTGAGGTAATTTCTTTTTTTGCATAGTGGAAATTACTAATGATTTTCTTATATAAAGTTGCAGCTGTAAAGTGAATCTTTTTTATTTAGATGGTCATCGAAACATTTGGAGACATGCTATATTACCCTGACTCAGAGTCTCCCAAAGAGTTCCTTTCACCCGAAGCTTTAAAGAAAAGAATTATTATTTCCACCAAACCACCAAAAGAGTATCTTGAAGCTAAGAATGCCAAGGAAAACGATGGTGACACCAAAAAGGTGCAGGAATCAAATGAAGCATGGGGGATGGAGGTTCCTGATCTTCAAACCGAGCTTGAATGTGCTGATAAGGTACTCAATTTCTAGTAGCGTGATTCCTTTTTCACCATATGGCTAGAAAATCCCAATTTCTTTGAAATATAATCCTCCATCATAATCAAAATGGTCAAACTGAAACCAATCAGGATGAAGATGTTGTGGATGATGGTGGTGGTAGTGATGATGATGATGACGACAATGATGACCAGAAAGTCCGACAGAGTTCACCACTTGAATATAAACGCATTATCACTATTCGAGCTGGAAAGCCCAAGGGTCATATAACTGAAGCATTAAAAGTTGATCAAGAAAAAGTAAGGCGTCTCAGTTTGAGTGAACAAGAACTTGCAAAGGCAACAGCATCTTATGGTGCAGACTTGATAAGGCATGTTTTTTCATGTTTCTATTTCAAAAATTTTGTTTGGATAACCTAGTAGATCCTTTTTTTTTATTGTTGATAAAGGACTAGCTATCATACATCAAGACAAAAGAAAATCTAAAAATATTTTCGTTTCCATGTGAATTACACATGTTTCCTGAGCTTGATGTCATCTTTCCTTCTCATAAAAATTGCTTGCAGTTTGTTGATGTGTTTTTTTGTTTGTAGGTTTACTCAGAGAAATCTACTTCGGATATACCCAAAGGGTACACGTTTTACTTCTTCTAACTACAATCCATTTGTTGGCTGGATTCATGGCGCTCAGATGGTTGCCTTTAATATGCAGGTGAGCTTGGGACATTTTTGGTATACTCATTGACTTTTCTAGTTTTATTATTAATCTAGATTCTTATTTTTAAGTCACAATTTTGAGAAGTTAGGAATTTATGATTTGTTTTCTGGAGTAACTGAACAAACACCACTGAATTTGATTAAAGACTCATGTGATGCAAAATTCACCATCTTCTTTCTGAGACTTGGAAAAAGATTCTTGAGTGCAGGAACAAGTTTGGTATTTATTTCCCAACTTAGCAAATGTATATATGTAACTGACCAATAATGTACCAAGCATGCCTTTGATGCCACTGTACAACCTATGGTGAGTTTTTTGTGTTCTAATATTTTCTGTACCTGTCATAATTTTATGTTTCTTTTGATAGGGATATGGAAGATCACTATGGTTGATGCATGGATTCTATAAAGCCAATGGAGGATGTGGATATGTAAAGAAGCCTGATTTCCTGCTGAGTACTGGTTCAAATAATGAGGTTTTTGATCCTAAAGCAATATTACCTGTAAAGAAAACCTTGAAGGTGTGAATCACTTTTTGTTGGTGGAACCACTTCTGGATTTCTTGCTATGCTTCTGTTTTCACTTTTACTGGATTTCAGGTTGTTTATTGTGTTCTTTTATTTTCTACAGGTCAAAGTATACATGGGAGATGGTTGGAGTATGGACTTCAAAAAGACTCATTTTGATCCATACTCCCCTCCAGATTTCTATACCAGGGTAATGATACAATAATCTCTGCTTTGACTCCATGTTCATGCATACCACCATGTTTTTCTTAGCTTTCATTGTGGTGATGTACCAATCACTTCCTTGTATCCTGTATATTTATACTTCAATTGTTTGACTTCATTGATCTTAGTTGCATACCTAATTTTTGGGATGTTTAAATATGAAAAGCAATAAGCAAATGGTTATCCTTCGACAGGTGGGAATAGCCGGAGTTCCAGCCGATGCCACGATGAAGAAAACAAAGGCAATAGAGGATAACTGGATTCCTGTGTGGGATGAAGAGTTTGTTTTCCCCTTAACTGTGCCTGAACTGGCTGTGCTGCGGATCGAAGTACATGAATATGATATGTCCGAGAAGGATGACTTTGCTGGACAGAATTGCTTACCCGTATCAGAGTTGAAACCAGGGATCCGAGCTGTGCCACTTTTGGACCGCAAAGGAATGAAGTTTAAATCCGTAAAACTGCTCATGCGATTTGAATTTGCATAACATTATTGTTGGATTGTATATTGCGCCTGTGTTCTTTCAATGCTTGTTAAATCTGTCAAGGTTGTGGATGTTGTGTTGTAATATAATGTCTTATCATAATCAATTTTTTCCGGCTTGAGTTGAATTTACTAGTCTGCGTAATGTGATGTTTGCGATGCCTTATCGAAGTTCTTGTCAAGTCATCCAAAGGTTTGACTCGATCATATTTAAACTGTCATTGGTAATTAGTGAATGTGGAATTTCATTCTCCACATTTTCCAATCCTCTACTAAAACTTTGACTTTGTCAAAAAATAAATAAATCATCACATATTTCTTGATGTGTGAGACAGAATCTATTCATTCATGTTCTAACAACTAGCAAAGTTTGCACTAATCACGGCACAGAATTCCCGATGCCTGTCCAGCAGAAAAATACAAGAGGAAAGTTATCAGAACACGTTGCCCCCCTACTTGTCCTACGCCCTTAGTGCTCGTCGTCTTCAACATCACGTACGTCCATTTCCACCGTAATATTCGCCTCACTTTCATGCATTCCATGCAGTCTACAAGATTGCTAAGTGTGTGGCCTACTGTACGCGAAATAGCCCTTTATCGAAGAGAACTATCCAAAGCGATAAGATCGACGTCAAAGCAGTCCAATGGTCCGTCCAAGTACGTGTTATTCCTCTTGCATAATGTCTTTTGGGACCTCCCAACCCTTCTCTACACCTTTGTACTAATTAGTCCAATGCACAAGCGAAAACGTTGACCCAGGTAGATCCCATTCGAACCATAAACATCCCCTCTCTCAAGCATGCACCGATTCATTCCCATGCGAAGAGAAACACTTGATGCATATTTGTTTCGGGGTTGAAGAGATGTGATCGATACAAGAAGCAAAGGTCGCAGGTTCTTCTCTGCGGATCAAGCAAACCCTAGCACAAGGATATATGAGTTATGCCCTTTCAGGTTGCTTCGCATGAAACCTAGGCACCTTGTCACAGCTTTGCCAACTGGGAGAAGCATGATGTCGAGAGTACAGAGAATGTAGGAAAGAGAGCATTGTTTGCAGAACGCATTGCATGCCCTAATGCGTGCCTCAAGCAGTGCATCTTTTGGGGACACTTGCAGAGAGCAAGTGCAAGGGAACGTATATCGCATGGGTCCCCATGAACCAAAGTGGCAAAGATATGACAAGACGTGGCTGCCAAGGAAGAGAAAGGCATCATCTCTGAGGAAGCTGCATCATCCTCAAGCTTGCATGCAAGCCAATGTGTAGTAGAAAGTTGAGTGGGAAGGCCCATCTCTCTCTCTCTCTCTCTCTCTCGCTCTCTTTCTCTCTATGCATATGTAAATCTATCTATCTACCTATATATATATGTGTGTGTGTGTCTTTCCCTTCATACGACATATTGCCAACCTATCAGCAAACAAAGATGACCACTTACAGAGTGTGCTTCTTCTTCCGGCGCCAGTACCGAGCGGCGTCGGGCCAGGCGCCGGAGGCGATACAAGAGGTGTTCGGGCAGTACTCGGAGGGAGGGGTGATGCGGGAGCAGGAGCTCCGGCGGTTCATGAAGGAGGTACAGGGGGAAGCTCGAGCCGGTGTCAACGATGCCATCAAGGAGTCCAAGTACCTCAAAGAGTTGCAGAAGAAAGGGCTTTCCGTTGACGAATTCTACCACTACCTCTTCTCCGACGACAACGCCGCTCACCCCTCTTCTCCCGGGGTATGTGATGTGTGTTCTTTATTTTCTCTGCTGTGGTCTCCATCCTTCTACAGATAGATACTTTCTTTTTTGATGA